TGAGAAATATGCCAAAGAATAAAATAATACTATACGTAATTTTGTAATGTATTATATTTGTAAATTGTACTTTTGTTGAAATTAAAAAAAATATATATTGCAATACTATTTTTGCGTTCTATGAAAATTTCTGTTGCTCCGTATAGACCAAATTTTTATTCAAGAATCTCTCCCGCCTCGGTCAATGGTGTCCCGCTTTACCAATGTTAAAATCTGGTCACCTTGTCAGGACTTGTGTTTCTCTTGATTTGCGTTGGAAACATGAATGATCCTGAGTAGGAACAGGGAGCTTACTATGTTCAAGAAGGTGTGCAGTAGACAGCACAAGCAGGAAGGGTATACGAAATCCTTTATTTTCAATCTTTTACAGGCACTTCCGAACTTCGGAATACAGAGACCAACCACTGTGGTCTGAAGTAAGAATATAAAAATACTAACTAAAACTCTAACTAAAAGCTAACTTTGAATTAGTATACAAATGCCAGCACTAAGACTGGCCTTTATTTAAAAAAGGTACGTGTGTAGTAGCGAGTGCTGAACTATGATACGTCTGCAAATATCAAGAGGGCTAAACCTCTGGCCTTAAAGGCAACCAGCAACCGAGTGAAAACTAGTAAAACTACAGTGGCAAGCGGCTCGCTTCCTAAAACTCCTTTCTCTCTCTCCCGCTTGGCAAAAAGCCATAAAATAAGTACTTGGGCGTTAGCAAGACAATCTGCATAAACAAGTTAAAGCATTTAATTCTGGCCAGAAGTAGAAAATAAGAAATGATAGAACAGTTTTAAAATAAAATAAACGTTAGTAAAACTTAGGATCCATACAACCTTAACCTAAACCTTGCGAAAACGGGTATGACAAGAGAAAAAAATTCAGTTTGAAGATGTGTTGCATATTGCAATAATAATAATAGTATGTCTACTTAAATATACTTTCGAATCTGATTTCTTTTAAATTCTCTTCTCAGAAGCGATATATACTGCGTATTTTATTCCTTTCAGCTGCGAGGAGGTAAAATTATTTTTAAAAAGGAGGAGGGGGAAGAAGAATAAGTAAATAAATGCGGAAGGGGAAGAAAGTGTATAGGATTTTTATTTTATTTAAAAATTTTAATGATTTAATTTTCATTTAACAATTTATTTTTTTAATTATAATTTTGTATACTTCATTTTTTAATCGATATTATCATTATTTAATAAGCAATCCCAAATATATAAGGAATGTTTTATTTCTAGAAAACTTAGGAAGTTTTGTTCAAATTGATTTGTATTAACGTTTCGCGTGACCAAACCATTCGTCATTGAGTCTTCTTATTAGGCATTCAGTGTTTCTCTTACTACAAATTTAATCTTGATCATAAGTGAGCACAAAATTGCTCGGAACACATCACTAAATTCATGATTCATGTAAACAAATATGTAAATAAATTCAGCCTTTTTGTGTTGTTATTGTGGAGGTATGTATCTCCAGGATGATTTAAAATGTATTTCTATGTCAAAAGCCACTTTTTTTTTTTTTTTTTTTTTTTTTGTTTAAAGTCCAAAGGGGCAATTTGGCCGGAAGGACTGTTAATTTCGTTTTGGCATTTTGTGTTGATTCACTACAAGCTTTGTTTCACTTTTCAAACTGTTGCCACCAGATATTATCGCCCTTTATTAAGTTTAAAGAAATTAAATAATGAAGAATCTGCATAAATGTATGTTTCTCGCATTGTAATAAAACAAAGGTACCAGACATAAATTTTGAATAACGTAATCCTCCAACTAATATGGGCATTTGGAAGTCCTAATTTGAAATTTGTTTCATTATCGATTTCATATTTTGTAAAACTTTAACGAATTTTTGATTAACAAACTCAAGGATTTCAAAGCGAGCAATGGCAACGTTGTACAGAAAAAACATTTTTATCTCCAGCGCTGGAGACTGTGTATCCGAAATTCTAAAGATATGCCCATTTAAAAAATATTTTGCGATATTGCTGTTGAGTTGAATTTTATGGTTTAAGTGCGAAGAACATGATATTTAATAAATGAAGATAACACACAGAATGTGTTTAACGTAATTTAAAACCTTTCAGTTTTTTTTTTTTTTAAATAAAATAAGAGTAACCAGGTTTCGGAATTTTAGGAGTAACTTAGGTTAGCTTTAAATGATGTCTTTACGAGACTGATAATCAATATATTATTATAATTTTGAAGCTCTGAAAAGTTAGGATTGAAGTTGCAGCTGTCACGCACGTTATTTTGCCGGTTTGAGCCGGTTGGCATAGTCAGGGACAAAGACCTAATTCGGATGCCGCGGGAAGAAAGAGATCACTGTCAGATCTGGGTTCGAACGGTGCCACGGTCAGCTGGATGGCAGCCAAATACGTCGGAAATGTTCAGCCTGCGTTTGTTTACCTTGCTTTAACGTATTTTGATAGCTGTCGTTAAATTTCTACAATTTCGATTTCAAATAGTTCCTGTTTAATAACTAAACAATCGGTCACGTTTATTTAAAGCAGTAAATCCATTTTTAAGTGTAGTACTTTCAGCTAGCTTAAGTTAAAATCTTCAGTAATAGAAGTTATTTGGTCATTAAGTTATTGGTAGTATTTGCATTTGTTATTGAAGTTATTTGGTCATTAAGTTATTGGTAGTATTGTTTAAAAATTTTGCGATCTTAAAATTGATAGATCCAAAACGAACCTTTCACAAAACTACAGTTTTTATTCACAGGGGGGAAAGGTAAGTAATTATTGTGTGCATATGTAATATAATGGAATTTCTTGCAAAAGATATATTTTTCATATGGGCATGCATATAATTCAAAAATTCATTTTATTTAAATGCTTAGTTTAAAATGAGGGCTGTATAGATAGATATTGCAGGTTGAAGAATGGCTTCTTTTAAGTTTGCTTTCATATCCTAAAACAGTAAGATATATGCTGATGTCTGTAACATTTATTGAATCAAACTATTTGACATGCCAAATTTTCTAATCCCTCTATTATTTATAGTAATTGGAAATAAATCCATCCAACCTTCATAAAAAGTATTATTTTCATTGGTATTCAGTGTGATTAAATCTGTGCGATTTTACAAAGGTGTTCATAAATATTACTTCACAGTTAAATAAATTCATTATAAGCTTCAAAGATAAGAAACCGAAAAGAAATTGATTCCTTAACTTTGACTACGGTCAGCGTCATCACTCTCCTTTTACTTTCAGCCAACCAGTGGCTGAGTGGTAAAGACACTGAACTCTGTTAGTTCGGTCCGAGGTTCGAATTCCATGGATGGGCTGGCTGCCTGGGCGTTTTCGTGGTTTTCCCATGTGTAACATGTATACGAGCCAGTTTCCCTTGGAAAGTCCTCCACGAAGGCATCTCTTCCTTTAGGCAGCTAGTCCTCGTGTGCTTTGCCATAATTAAATAATCCAATCCAATCCTTTTACTTTCTTTAAATAATATGTCACCAGCATGTTTAATTTTAAAATAAATTGAAATTACATTAAATGGGTATAGTGCAGCGATTCTGTCTACCTTTTGACTAACTCTAACCACTAAACATGCAATTGAAAAACTTTAGTACCACCACTACATTTTTCAATGAATTTTTTTTTCATTTTCTCAATAGAAATATTATAAAAAATATATATTTTAAAATTTGCACAAGCTATATTTCTATTAAATATGTACACATAAAATATATTAGATTAAAAATTGGTTACCATTTTAAATGTCAAAATTTAAGTTCAAACACTTTTTAATTCTAAAATTTCGTGGGAAATTTGGGCCTGTTTTAGAAATCAATTTCTTTGTGTGTGGGCTTATTATGCTTAGTTTAAAGAGTAAATTAGGATCTACTGTTAATTTTATTCTCTATTTATTTTTCAGATATAAAATGGAAAAAAATCATTGTTCACACAAATAAGTTGTGCAAAAAGGGCAATACAAATTTAGTAGCTTTATTTGAAATACCTTCAAATTCTTTTTTTTCAGTTCAGCCAGAGGTTAACAAGTCAATTATCTTTGAAATCTTCAGTTAGAAAATTTCTATTAAGTGTTCTTTTTCGTTACAAGATTTTTTTAAGTTTAGTAATTAATAATACTTTATTTCTTTGCGTACCACATACTTTTCTCTTGCGTACCACTAGTTGAGAATCTTTGGTATAGTCTTTGATAATTTCTCAACATTTGGGTAGCCTTTAAATAATATTTTGAACAGATTTGTTATTTGAATGGCATATAATGGGAAATTAAATGTTGTAAAATGTCAGGAATTGAGATATAGTTTAAAATAAAATTATGTATTAATAATTGTCTAGGATTACATTAAATATATACAGATTTTTATGCAAATGAGGAATATATCAGTTGAGTGTAGCGTTCAACAGTTAGCAATGTTGTTTTTTGGAATATCATTAAATTACAAAGTGTTAAATGTCGTTTCTGAGCTTTTTATATTCTTCTACAACTTAGCCATTTAAATTCATTTTCTGTCTTGGTGAATTTATTTTTTGTTATAAATATAATTCCATCCAAAACTGGTGGGGGATTTGAATCTCTGATACTTGTATTGAAAGTTTATAGCTATTATTATTATTATTTTTTAATATAAGGGAGTAAAGTAGCTTTAAATCAGGGTTTCTTAAACTTTTTTTAGTCGTTATCCCTTTTTATCACTGAGATTCTTTCGTGACCCCCAGGACCCCATAATATTTACGAAAATTTTGTGGGACCCCACAAGCATTGTGCAAATCGAACACACGCATGTGTGAAACTGTCAATTTTTCACTTGTTATTGTAATATACTATTGCAGTTCTAGGTCATGAACTTTATTTTCTGATTTTAAGACGTAGAACAATGTGAAAATTTTAAATAAGTAATAGACAAAATGACAGCATCACGTGCAAAGCAAGTAAAATGAATGTTTACATTATAAAAAGAATGCGTGAAAACGTTTTCCTTTTCTCATAACATAGAATGGTAGTTCTCCTTTTTAATGTGTCATTATTTCAGGTTGCCAAACAACTGTGATATAAAACAAAGTGATGCAGCTAGCCAGAGCATACAAACCCACCAAACTGTATCTAATAATCCTAGTGGAGTTGCAGATGTACCCTCCCAACAAGAAGAAAAGCTTAAAAATGTAATACAAGTTATTTCATCTTAGTACTTTCTGTAATCATTCATTTATTTAGCTTTTGTAATTTAAGTAAAAACCAAAATCTTATAGGTCTGTACATTTATAGTATATATTTCATTTGTATATTTAATAAATAGTTATTAAATGAAATTATTTTAGGCATCAAAGAAACTTTTGTTTGTATTAAGGGTAAGGAATAGAATAAGCAAAGTGATTGAAATTTGTCAATAATGTTGCAGATTATAAGAGATGAAACAGTGATTAAAAAATAAAATCAGAAATGTATACAGTTCTTTTTACTCAGTGATCGAATTCATAATTTAAAACCAGCTCAAAAAATATTTTTATATTCTTTTTATATTTTTATATTTGTTAAGTTAGTTTGTGCAATAAATATTATATGCATAAGTGATATACTATTATATGTAAAATTGATATAGGTATTTATTTATAGGTAAATTTAGATTTAGAATTATTAAAGGCAGAAAGTGTGGTGCAGCCAAATGTAGAATATGTAAATAATAATCTTCCCTCCAAGGTATACTGTTTTATTTATATTTTCCTTGATAATTCTTTGATTATTTATGTATATTTAGAAATTTTTCATAAATTAAAACTTTTTAATACTATCAAGGATCCTGCAGAATTGGTTAAAGTAGTAAAGGAGCAAGAAGCTCATCCATTAGAATCCGAGTTAAACAAAAAGTAAGTTTTGATGTGCTTTAACACTTTGAATATTTGATACACCTCTACATTTAAGTCTGATACAGAATTAAAAGAAACTTTTAGTAAAGATTTTATTGAATTTAAAATATGTATTTTTGCTGTTATTCTACACTGATATTCTACCATTTGAAATTTGAATTTGGTAATGTTTTGTAATTTTCTGAATAAAGATTGGGATTCTTTAAGCATGTTAAAAATTCTTAAAGTTCTCCATATGTCTTTCTAAACTAGTTTATATACTGCAAGATATTGCTTTATTTTGGTATACTTTTTTTTTTTGGTTTTTCTGATGCTTTATTTTGATACTATAACGAAATAGGTGTTTTTCATTTGACTGAATGTGTTATTTTATTAAGATATATTTGCTGTTATTGGATGTGAAAAATTATTTTTATCATATTTACAGAGGCTGTTTACACATTTTTAAATGATTTTCATTGTATTTACAGAAATATTTTACCTAAAATTATGATTAAAAATGCTTTTTTTGATAACCCATATTATTCATTACCTTTCTACATCGTAATTTCCAAGACAATAAGGTCTTTTGTAGTATCAGAAAAGGTATTTTATCCCATTCTTCTCGAATAGCTTTCCGAAGTTTGGACAATCCGGTTTTTTCCCCAAGAAATTAACAATGTATTTTCACATGTGCTGTTTGGTTTGTCTTGATGTAGTTTTACTGATTGGTGACATTGAAGATGTTTCATATCTGAAGACTGAGTTTAAAAGTCCTGATAATATTGTAGAGTTGATCTTAACATTTTTCTCCACTCGGTTTAATTTTAATTTGCAGTTATAGGAAAATAACTGCAACAATTGTAAATTCTTTTGAAAAGTTTTCCTTAGATTCTTTGAACAATGGTTTAAAATTTTTTCTTCCTTTTTGCTCATAATAAATAGATTGCTTTTTATTGCATCATTTAAATACACCCAAGATTCATCTACTGTGACAAAATTTTTCCATTTGATAAATGTTTCTTATAAAGAATTCTGCATTTTGCGATATGTCATGAAAAAAGACAGTGCATTATATTTTTCCTCTTTTTAAGATTCAAATTAGCAGTAATCACTTTCTTTACAGTTTCAGTGAGCATTTTAAAGACTTTGCATTTGTCCTTTGACTTTGAATATTTTCTTTTTTTAATATTAAAGATATGATCTTTGTAGCATTTAAAACATTCTGTTTTTACATTGGATATGTACTGGAATAATTTTTCCACTTAAAGCCAAGCTTTGACTTTTTTCCCTTTCTTGTTGACTATATTACCTGTAATAGCTTATAATAATATTGAAAAACATTGCTTTCACAGCGTTTTTTTAATAACTAGTTACAAATAATTTTCTTTGGCTAGAACACAAACATAGCCTTCCATCTATTGCTTCCTTAAAAGCACCATTTAGTATGAAAACAAAACTATCAAGTAGCAGATAATAATTTATACTTGAAAGACCTTTGGTCAGTTAAAAAAAATGTTAAAAATGTGCAAACAGTCTCTGTAATTTTCTAGAAAATTCTATTAATAAGGAATGCACTAAAATAATTATTAAAAACACATAGTGAAATTACAAACTTAACCATGTTGGTACTACCTAAAAGAACCTAAAGGAGCATTCTAAAGTACCTACCTAAAGGAACAACATAAAAAAAGCAGCCCAAAAATATGTGTAGATTAAGTATTTCATTATTTGTATGTAAAGTAACCTTAATACTTCTTTTACTTGTTTAAAGAAGGTGAAGGGGCTGGACGTGTATCTTTCAATACAGCTATTTTGTATATGCAGCATATCTTAAAATAAAACTGCTTCTAATCTTTTGAATAATTTATTATAAGTTAATGATTACATTTTAAAATGAATCAAATAAAATAGACTTCCTGCCAGAAATTTCTCTTATGTGACTTAATTCAGTAATAAATATGAAAATGACTTCTCAGTAGGCTCTTAATGGAATGCTGGTTTAAGGGGGGGGGAATATTCCTTGGAGGAATATCAGTGTGAAAAACAGATTAAATTGGAGACCCTTTTAGAATGTTAGTCAAAGGTAAATTAGTTAAAAATAAAAAATATTCTATTATATGACCTTGTGTCAAACATATCATTAGAATTTTTCGAGACAACATGCCAATACTGCTAAAAAGAGAGATGTCTAGTTATGATTTTCTGAGAGCCGTCTTTTACTTTGAAGAAATGGAAAAACAAGGGGCTCAAGTATCATAGGCTTTTATACTCCTGTTTGTATAAATGTTAAAATTTAAAATTTATATTAAAAAAAATAGTTTTTAATATAATTGAGTTTTCATTATAAACCCCTCCCGAAAAATATTTCAGATTTCTAACGTTTGCTGAAAAGGATTTGTTGTTTTATACTCTCATTAAGCTTGCAGTCTACCAGTCTGTTCTTGCATTCATTCCTGTTAACCTCCTTTTTTAAGCTTTATTGTTAAGCATCGTTTACATCGCACTTATGCCACATGCAGTTCAACAACAAAATCACAACATTTTTAAAAGCCGCTTAGCAGAATGTGTTTAGAATTCCCAATGCAATGTAATGTGATGGCAAACATTTTTTAGATTCTTTTTCGGTCTTTTCTCAGTTCATCATATCACTATTCAGTTTCCTTAGTAAGATAGTTAAAATTTTTTTGTCTTTTTATTATTATTATAGTAGTATGTATATTATCATATACATATTTTATGCTTTATTTGTTAAATATCACATTCTTCTCGTTTATGCCAGATAAAATTCAGTTAAACAGCAAAATCACAGAAAATATATAAACAGCATAGCTTATAAACTGCTAGAGGTTGCCATGCATATTTTTATAATGTTAATTGAAATTGACAGATATATATTTTACATTTTTCTGATTGGCAACTGTCTCTCATGCTGGAAATAAAATGTTTTGTTTCAAATAGTGTTTGTTGTCATTGCTTGCTTTCAGATAATTGAATTTGTTAAGAAAAAAAATTGGTTTAAGTTAAAAAAATATAAAATAAGGAATGAAAGAAATTCAAAATAAAAAATTTGGACTTCCATTTGCACATGTTTGGGTGGAGGACTACATTATTCAAAATTTGATGTCTCTAGGTACTGCCATTTTTTCTCATTTTGAGGAACATACATACATAAAGGCAGGCTTATTATATTCAATTTCTTTAAAAATAGTACAGGGCGATAATATTTGGTGGCAACAATTTGAAAATTATATGCCATTTATAGTGAACCAATGTAGAATCCCATTTTGAGACTATTAGTTTCTTTTAGTCTCAGAACTTGTTCATTAGCTTTATATTCTTCACTGAAGCACAGAACTGCAAAAGAATACTATGCGTGGGAAAACCTGTAAGCAATGAACATAATGCTTCCTGCATGCATTCTCAAGCATGCATTCAAGTGGTAATAAATGAAGATGATATAAAAGAAGTTTTTCATTGTGATGACAATGCTCCTCAATTATCAATCAATTAATGAATTGCGATATCTGAAGTATGGTTCTAGATCCACAAAATACTGCTACCGATGGTGAAGAAAGTGACAGAGTTTATGAAAATGAAAAAATTTCGATTGACAAGTTAGCTGGAATTCTCAACACGACAATTACAGGACTTCAGCAATGTAACTGAACAAAAAATTATGTCTGTCTGCAGAATTAAAGAGAAATTATTAGCACAAAAAATGAAGCAACTGAAATAACTTGCATTGAAAGAAATGGTTAATAAAGTAAACAAATAAATATTAAGCTTTTTTTTGTAAATTTTGATACCCATTTCTTGTAATTTTGAAGCATTTAAGATTTTTTATCACAAATGCTTCATTATTTCATAAATCACGATTTCATATTTTTAATTTTATAATTTCTACTAGATTTAAGCTGATGATCTAATATCCATAAAAATCCCAAATCCGAAATTGTGGAAATCCTGACGAGTCCGGATCTCGTACTGTATACATTTATTTAGATTTAGTTTTTAACCTGCTGCAGAAGTTAAACAATAAAAGTATAAGAAATGTTAATATAACTTAAAAACCAAAACTTAAATAAAAGTAGTTTTTTAAGTATATGTTAATTTGTAGTTATAGTGTTGCAGATGAAAGATTTATATAAATAATTTTCAATTTTTGTGCTGTTTAAAAATTTGAATTTTTAAACCTTTAATGGAGCTTTAGTAAATTTAATACAAAAGTTTCATATCATCGTTTGTATAAGTATCTGAAAATGGGCTTACTGACCTATATCAGTATTCATTGTTTATTTTATCTCTCAAAGACATTTTGGAGCTATGTTTAGGGAGAAACTGTCTGAAAGTTATTTACATATTTTGGCACTTTGTAGTTTCATATTGGGTAGGATAGTGATCCTGATTAAATTTTTTAGCTGACTTCGTAAAACTGTTAAACGGTCATTCTTGTGATAATTATGTCATAAAGGTATGGAACTTTTCGTATTTGATTTTTTTGAAGAATAATGATTATTTTACTGCATTGAAACTTTTGCTATTTGAGACCACAGGGCAAAAGTTCTTTTTATATCTGTACAATTCTCCCACTCTCAGAAAATTCTTTACTTTATTTTGAGAAATTTTTAAATATAAATTATTTCTTAGAATTAATATTTGAGAAAGTAAAAAAATATAACTTTTCGTTTTGAAAATAATCTCATACTATTAAAACCATAAAATATTTTCCAGGCAAATAATTCCAAACTTAGAAAGCAGCAGACATATGAATATTCAAGAAAAAGAGCAATCTGTTACGGAGCAAATGGCAAGTTCTGTTGCTAAAGAAGTAAAGCCAAATTCTATGTAAGTTTTTGTTTGTTTATTATAAGTTTGCCACAACTGTTAAATATTTTAATGCGAGTTAACCATCTGAGCTTAATGACTGCTTTTATTAGGTCATGATATTACTTAGTATATATTACCTTCCTATCGTTTTCTTATGTTCTTTAAGAAGCTAAATATTATCCCAAGGAATAGAAAGTTCTGAAAATAAACAGTAAAATAAATAAATATACAAATCTAGCTATTGAATAGTGTTTGAATACAGCTCTTCATCAGTAACACCAGAAATGTGTGCTGTTAAGAGGGTTAATGAAAGGCAGATCTATGTTATAGAGGTATAACTTAGCTATATATTTAAGGTCTGCTTTGTAGTGGATGTACAGATCAGCGCCATTTATTTTGCTATGAATTGCCGGCCTGTGTGTGCTATAGATGTATTATGAAACTGGTGTGTAGTTTTATAAACAAGTATACTCAAATGCGTGATACATTAAGCAAAATTATGAAATTTCTAAAATTTTTATAATAAAATGTTTTAAAAATAGTATGGGTAATTAAAGCTTTGTTTTAGAATTTCAATAAACGATGGAAAACACGAAGTTTGTTGCAGTGTCTTGCACTCTGTTAACCCTTTGCGGCATGGTGGGTCAATATCTGTCCCACCTAATTAATATTTTTTTTCTCAGCAATTCCCATTAGAAGTTTTCTAATCTTTTAAAAGTAATCGATTTTAGTTATTAGTTTTCTCAGTAGATGTCACTACTATACCAGGGCTTAAGTTTAAAAGCAAAAAATATTCAAAATAGGATCACAAGAGTGATATGCAGGTATCTCGCATTTTTCAATATTTTAAAAAGTTTGGTATACAATTTAGGATATCTATGATTTTTTAATGTTCAAAGGTATTTTATTTTCAAAAATCTTAATTGGATTCAATATTTTATAGTATTAATTTTGCAGTTGAAGTAAGTGGGTTAAAATTTGTCCGACCACACACTTGAATTTCCGCTCAATAGATGGCAGCACTCACGATTATTTTTTTCCTTTTCTTTTTTGCATCTACTTTTTTCGTGATTGCACACGCTTTTACATCCTTTGTTTGCTCTGATGTGCTAAAATGTCTAGAAAAAAATTAACAACTCGGGAAGCTTTGGATCTTTTTGCTGAATTGCCATCCGATTGCGACTCAAATGCTTCAGATGTCAGTTCTGATTCAGATGAAATTGAAATCCAGGAGAGAATAACTGAGGTTGAAGTTATTGCTGAAGAAGAAAGGGATACCTGTGAGAACGAGGCTGAATTTACAGAACCCTCAGAATCTTCTGTTCCGTGCTGGAACAAACAAGAAGTTGATTTTTACTGCCAGAATTCAAAGAAGATTCGGGACCCGACAGGTGAGATTTTTGATTTGGATGATCCAACACCTGTAAATTTATTTTTAAGTATATTCACACTTAAATTCATTGAAAATATTGGTTTTCAATCAAACTTATATGCAACACAGAAAAACACTGTTGTTCCCTCTTGATAATAACGGTTTTTGCAATTTCTCGCTGTAAATATGCTAATGGCCGTAAAAAAGTTTCCAAGTTATCCGGACTACTGGAGAAGTACTCTACAATTACACGATGATTATACGATGATTATATAGCAAAGATAATGCTTGTAAACAGCTTCAGTTGTATATTGGGAAATTTTCATCTAAATGATAACTATTTACAAACTAAAAGAGGGGAAGCTAATTTTAATAGGCTATACAAAATACGCCCTCTTTCAAATCATCTCTCAGAAAAGTTTACGGCAGTTTTTAATCCCAATGAAAATCAGGCAATTGACAATTCAATGATTCGCTTCAAAGGGAGAAGCAGCCTAAAGCAGTATATGCCTAAAAAAACCCATCAAACGCGGTTACAAAGTATGGATGCGATGCGATGTCACTGGATTTGCATGCCAATTTGAAATTTATACTGGCAAACTCGGTGACTCTGTCGAAAAAAATCTAGGCAAGAAAGAAAGTAGTGAAAACTTTGTGCCAGCCTCTTTATGGTAAGAACCATAGAGTTTTCATGGACAACTACTTCAGTAGTTATAATTTGTTTCGCTTTTTAAAGACACAGAACATCTATGCATGTGGCACTGTAAATATGAATCGGAAGTATCTACCCAAAAATTTAAAAGAAGACAAATTTATGTCGAGAGGAGATATAGACTTTTCAGTTAGCGATGATTCAATTTATTGCATAAAATGGAAGGATAAAAGATCCGTTTCTATCCTGTCTTGCTTGGAAAAGGCAACTGAAATGAAAGAAATTAATAGAAAAGAACGAGATGGAAAAACAAAAAAAGTACTGTGCCCAAACAGCATTATTTCATATAATAAGAATATGGGATATGTCGACTGATTGATCAACTGAAAGGACTATATGAAATAGACCGCAAAAGCAAGAAATGGTGGCACATGATTTTTTTTTTTACTTTTTAGATGCGAGTATAGTAAACGCATTTATTTTATTTAAGTTTGTTCGCAAAAGTGATCATGATGTAAAAACAATGAAAGATTTTCGTCTCTCAGTTATAGAAGGTCTAATGGCACTTGCAGGCAAGAAAGAGCTGAAAAGAAAACTGAAATCCCCAGTTCAAATAAAAACTAAAAAACCGTTCGTACAATCAGAAAAGAGACTAAAAAAATGTAAGTCACACGCCAAAGAGAACGAGCAGAAGATGTGCATATTGCAGCACATCGAAAGAAGAACGACGAACATTTTGGATGTGTGAAACATGTGAAGTGCCTCTATGCTTACAAAAGAATGAAACAACATGTTTTTCAAAGTTTCATGAAAAATGACTTTTTTTTCAATTTTAATCATATATAAATGTTTTTGAATCAAGTGCCAATTTTAATATTTTATTTAGTATCATATGTACGAGTATCAAATTTTAATCTTAAAATAATATCCAAGAAAATATATTCTTTTGTTCCTAAAATTTAAAAATATATTATATACATATATATGTGTATGCAAAATGCATGCATATTTACAAAATGCATTTTAGTGTTTATTATGAATATTTTAGAATGCACGCTTTATTTTGTTTATTCATTCCACATATGATTTTTTTTCCCTGCTATACACCAATATGCTATAAGACATGTGCTAGTTGCATGGTGGGACAAACGGTATCCCACCTTCCCCCGTAAAAAATAAAAGCGCAGAATTTTTTTCAAGCCTGAAAGGCACTTAAGTAAGTCTATCTGACTTATTCTAAGACATTTTTTAAAAGATTAAAATATATTTTAAATATGCGTGTCGCAAAGGGTTAAACCCAACATTTCTTTAATAACATTGATGTTAATAAAGAGGTTGCATTGAAGTTTGAAGGTGTTTATCCTGTTTTGTAAGGTGTGTATGATATCTTAGTATGTGTTGGAAGGGAGCGGCTCTTTAGATCTAGACAGCATTATACACCATGCTCTGTAATATCCATGCCAGCACATGTGATTTCCTGAATTGCTTCATTGACATTTATTTTCAAGGCATCCATAGTTCATGATTTGTTTGCATAAATTTAATTTTCAGATTTAGTCTGTTTCTTTGAAAACTTGCTTGCTCATCTAGTAAAGTTCCCATGGTTTTAAATTACTTCTAAAGTACAAATACTGGACTTAATTTTTGGTTGATGCTTGATTCTAAGCTTCTTCAAGACTTGCTGATATAACTTTATCAGCTTTCTCATAGATGTCAACAATAAGCACTGCCTTCTCTTTTGGCAATGTATTTTCCAATGTCTTATGTGAAGGCACACATATGCTAATACTCATGAATTGCAGCTGTATTGTCTTGAATGTCATTAGCTAAATGACAAAAAAGCAGAAAGAACAGAAAAGCCGAGCAGAGACCAGCAGAAAGAGTTAAACAGAAGACTGTTACAAACAACTAGCATATCTAGCAGCTATTCCTCTATGCCACACTACAACTCGGTATTACAACTTTTCAGCATGAAACTGCAGCATTTTTCATTTTTCATCCAATGAATGTACTTCTGTTCATATTTCATTTGCATTGTCTTCATTGATATTAAAATTATTGATGAAATGTTGAATCATTAGTAAGTTTGACACCTTGTATAAATTTTGGAAGAAATCAGGATATATGTATAAAAGGAAAATACCATTGGGACAGAATGTTATTGTTACTGTTTTTTAATAGTTATAAAATTATCTAGTATTGGTATTAGGAATTTTGTAAAATTCTTATTTTAATATTGTTACATTATGTCACTGCAAATGTACCGTATATACCCGCGTATAAGTCGAGATATTTTGGACAAAAAAAAGACTTCAAAGTGGGGGGTCGACTTATACGTGGGACCATAAAAAATTAAAAGAATCGAAAGTTCAAAAATTTCTTTATATAATGCAGTTGTTTTCTTCCCGCGCTCAAATTGGACGACTTATCAAATAAGTCACTTACTTGAAGTAATTTCATGACTTAAATTATGTGACGAACTAATCACAGAGTTTAATACTTTAACTAGAGTACATTTCGATTAAACCAAAGAATTTTCGGCCCCCGAACAACCGATCGATATTGAGCAATAAAAAAGTTTCGCCAGCACGCCAAGAAAAGAGAATGCAGATAGTCATTTTAAAGATCGTCCGTTGATCATTTTTAAAAGAAAAACTTTATCGAAAAACGTTGTGTTTCTATCAGGTGTGCTGGTTCGCGCCCATGAAAAGGGATGGATGGATGCTGACGGAACAGTTGATTGGCTTAAAAATGTGTGGGATAAATGACCGGGAGCAGCTTTAAAAAAACCTTCGCTTTTAGTATACGATTCTTTTCGTAGACACTTTTCTGAAGAAGTGACAAAAGTGACAAAACACCTAAAAACGACTGTGGCCGTAATTCAGGGAGGATTAACATCCGTCATTCAACCCCTAGATGTCTGCCTCAATAAGCCCTTCAAAGTAAATGTTAGAAAATATTGGGCAGAGTGGATTAGTTCCGGTCGACCAACATTTACGAAGGGAGGCAACATTAAAAAGCCCGATATTACATTAATTGCTCAGTGGGTTAAAGATGCTTGGAACGAAATACCCTCTGAAATGATTATAAAATCATTTAAAAAATGTTGTATTAGCAATGAACTAGACGGCACGGAAGATGATACTGTTTTTGAAAGGGAAAATGACGACGAAGGCTCTAGTAGTGATTGTAACAATACAAAGTTCGAGACTGAAAATATGTATGATAACGAGCCAATGACGACAGAAGAGTTCTATGAAATGTTTGGCGAATCTGACCATGAATCGGACGTTGAAGGATTTTGATTTTGTTTATTTACCAAGGTATTTTTTATCGTATATTTACTTTTTTCCTCAGATGATTTTGAATAAATGTAGTACTTAAAAAAAATTTTTCGAAGTGTCTTGATCGATTTCGGAAGTGGGGGGTCGACTTATACACGGGTTTCTTATTTTCTACGAATTTTTATGTTGAAGTGAGGGGTCGACTTAAACGCGAGTATATACGGTATATATTTGACATCCCTCTAAATAATGTGCTGATTCAACCAACCTTGCTCAAAATGCTTTGGCTAAAAGTTTCAATTTTTTTAAATTTAAGATTTTTAAAGACCACATTTTCAGCTATCAAAACAACTTTTCTTTTCTTGACGTGCTGATTAGAAGTGGAGATATACCAGTTTTTCTGAGAGAGGGCAAACAAGAAGTTAATGTCTTGCTGCTCCAGAAGTCAAATTTTAAACAGCAAATTAAAGATGCAGTTTTCTCTTTTAACATAATTTTTTAATTAAATAATTCTAAGCATGTCAGTATGCCTGTAGAATCTGGCAAAGTATTTTTATTATGTATTTTATTATTTTCGTTTGGCAACATGTCATATAAGATTAATCTGAAAACTTGAAATGTGATTTTTGATTTGTTTTTAATGATTTACGTTCACAGCAACCATGATAACTCTGAACGTTCTTTATAGAATTACTTGAAATTTTGTGTGCAGAATTCTAGGAGTTAAAAATTAGTCGTGTGTAAAATTTAAATGATATCGTTTTTCCTTCAATGGTGCTCGTATTTTTTTTTAAATTTTTGAGCGTTGACTAACATATTAGGCCATATCTTACTAGTGAATGAATATTTTCCAGTTCTATTTCACTGTGTGCTTAAGGTTAGTATATATAATGTTACGAATTTTGTATATATATATAAATAATTTTAATGAAATTATATGTAAAATTGTAGTACCTGTAAAATGTAATGTGAAAATTTGAAGAGGTGAAGCTTTGTCAGAAAAGTAAGTATACGGGGAAACTCTGTTTAACATTCCGTAAATGGTTATCTTGCTGGCAAGATTTGGCCAAGCTGGCAGTAATTCTGAATACTAATTTTTTTGCCGAATACAGCAAGAAAACGTTTTTGGCCAAAAGCCAAAAAATTAGTGACCATTTGGCAACATTTTAGTCCAGTCCCTTGTATAACTGTAACTGATATCATAATCGAATAATTGTAATTGATTGCTATATGTAACTGTAACCATATCATGCCCTCATATGCCTTCCAGTAATTTTGAGAAGTGGAAGGTACTAGAGATCTCTTGGCAGCTGAGTGGAACTATGTAAGACTGGAGAGAGTATTAGTTTCTCAATTGTCTAGTTCAGCATGAGTTCGGTGTATAGAGATGTCTTCGTGTAAGCTTTGCTCTTTAGATGCACTTTGCATTTCATTGTGTTTAACGTTCTTATTAGTCTGATGTTAACTCCTATTTATACTCTGTGATATTGTGAAGAGCTGTGCAAGTATTTTGGGGGAAAGTTCCAGAATTGTGCTCTTGGTAGAAACATTTTTATCAAGCTAGCATCGCTTCTGTGTGCGTTCAATTTATTGCGAATCTGTATGCATGCAGCAGTTAAAAAAAAAGTGTTAAAAATGTTTGCATTTTTTAATATTGAAAGGTGTTTTGATATATTATTGAATGAATGATTTTTCTTTCTATTCAGTTCTTTAGATGTAAAAGGTCCTGAACAGACTGAACCTTTGTCACCTTCAAAACATACAGATTCATCTGCTAAACAGTCTTCACCGGAGAGATCTGGTTTTCAAAGTGAGGTACTGTTGGCTTCAAATTATCTTCATTCTGAAGTACCAGCATCTGATCATATGATAAAAAATAAACTTTCTGAAGAGAAATCAGTTGAAAAAATAGTTGTTGAAGATGCTCACCACCAGCCACATTATGATGGGATGCCATCTTTTGATGAATGGAAAAAAATGATGCTAGCAGAACAAGAAAAAGGAGGTAATTGTAGTATTTAATACATATCTGAAAATTTCATAGGTTTTGCATAGATATTATTATGTGTGAAATGGAAGAGAATAATTATTTTGCTAGTCATATAAAATAGTATTTCGGTCATATAAAATGGTTGTATTTAGAATCTAAAATATTAGCCTATTCATTAAAAACCCATAGTAGGAATCTTCGGTGGGAAAAGTTGTATTAAAAGTGCATGATTGATTTTCTCATGTTGATTATGTAAGGCAATGAATGACCAATAACTTGTGTTAATATGCCCGAAGCATGCTTAAGGACATGGAGGAAGCTGTTCAACTAAATGACAGTGCTGTAATAGCATGCAAGTGAGAAATAGTTAAGTTTTTTAGATTTTTTTCTTCATTAAAGAAATGAAACTTGTACATCAGTGGATGAAAATTCATATGATGACATATGTAAAAAGTCTTATATTATAGTGCCATTTTAACTGAGAAGAAGATCAGCATCACTATCATGAAGAATTCGTCTCACCTGATTTTCAGCAGTCGCAGAAAATAACATTGCAGCAGTGGGTGATGTGATAAGATATTGGAAAAACTAGCACATCACATTTAAGAAAGTGGCTCTGCTACTGGATATTGATATTGGTTCAGCCAATCACATCATTCATAGTAAGGTGAAATTCTAAAAATATGTTCAAGATGGATTGTTAGGAATTATCATTCAAAATGCTAGAAAAACATGTCGGTGCTGTCTGAAGACTGCTTTGTCGTATGGATTTCTTGGTGAAGCATTTGTGTTGGTGTTGTCACTGAACAAGTTGTTCAAGGTATACCTACGTGTGTAACAAGGTTCTGAGAGGACTATGAACTTTGGTTGATGATGCATGAATAGCTGAGTGTGTGATGGTGAAACCTCTTCAAAGAGATGAGGACATGTGTGAGTGGTTATATGCCTGTCTGATATGGTTAATTTTTTACTTTATCTACATATTTTTCAGATGCTGATGAAAGTACATTGAACTAATAGATGCAGATTGCATTGAACAGAGATATTATAATTGTTTCAGTGTTTGCAATAAATATTCTGTAAACAAAATTTCAGTTTTCTGTTGAATTTAGTAATGATAGTAAGCAATAATATAGTTGTGCAAAACTGTTCTGAGAATTTTATTCATGTTAATTAATAACAGAGATATTATGTATTATGTTGGGTTATAGTGAATTACCAGGATAATCCATTGAATATGTTCCTTAACCATTCTTGTAAATGTTCTTTCTTCATGCTCTTAATCACTCAAGAATTCCTTCACAAAGTTCCTTATGCCTGACCTGAATTATTCATTCATAATGCTGGATGAACTAATATCTGCTGGAGAATACTCTTTTCATGAACAGTTATTCCTTATACATCCCAATGAAGTTTGTAGATGGTGGGCATTAAATTGTGGGCAGGAGTAACCAAACAGATTATTTTGTGGCAGAATCTTGCCTGGAACACATTTTACTGATCATGCCATGTTTTTTACAGGTAAAACAGCACCAATATTTCATTATGCCATGGAAGGTAGCATTTGTTATATAACCAGTATTTCATTATGTCGCAAAAAGGTAGAATTTTTTAGATGAGTTGATTCTTTTTCATATACTGTAAGTGTAAAGCACTTATACGAGGGTTGGAACTTTAATAGTGGCAACACAGCTGAAAAAACGCTACGCAACAAAACCAAAGAATATCGCGTATACCACACGTGAACTACATACCTACCTTACCTCTCAGCAAAAAGACTCGTCCTGCCTACGTCATGCGCATGCGGAGTGACGCGAGGAACAAATCCTTGTATTAGCTCGCGGTCTAAGGTAAGTGTTGTCAGGATGTTTTCAAAACAAGAACAACGATGTTGGATAAAAATTTAATGTGCCAGAGGTCGTACAGCACGACAGTGTCATCAAGGGCTTCAAGAGGCTTGCAGGGAATCTGCATTGCCTTACAGAACCGTAGCAAGATTTTATTATGTTGCAAAAGCATTCAATGAAGCACGCCAAAACGTGGCAGACATGCTGTGGCCAGGTCGTCCGAGTGTCAGCGATGTAGACGTGCAAGCTGGTGCCGCACTAATGGACAGTGATCACCGCCAAACGATTTTTCAGCTGGCCGGACAAACAGAATTAGCGCATACAACTGTGCTGCACATTCTGAAGGAACGCCTGTCCATGAGAAAAATTGCTTCACAATGGGTTCCACATCAATTGACGGAAATGCAGAAATGGCTACGATACGATGCTGCCCGAACCCACCTGGAGTGCTATGAGCGCGAAGGAGATGCTTTTTTACACTGTATCATTACGCTGGATGACACTTGGGCCCAATCGTACCAGCCAGAACTGAAACGTCAATCAAACGAATGGCGTCATCACGGGTCACCACGACGTTCAAAATTTCGTCAGAACCCCAGCAATGTGAAAGTTATGGTGATTCTCGTATATGACTGTGATGGTGTCATCCTAACGCATACCGTTTCCCCACGGCAGACAGTCACTGCGCAGTATTACTGCTCATTTTTGGAGCACAATCTCCGACCAGCTTTGAGAAAAAAACGGCGACACTTTCTGCAGAACGCTCCTCTCATTTTGCATGACAATGCTCGGCCGCATGCAGCGCAAGCTGTGACTGATTTGTTCAAGCGATGGGGCTGGGAAGGGCTTTACCATCCACTATACTCTCCAGATCTAAGCCCTTGTGACTATGACTTAATTCCTAAGATGAAGGAACCACTTTGTGGCACTCGCTTCCAAACTGTTCCCGAGATTCTTGCGGCAGTAGACTGGTCCATTCAAACTATCAACAAAACAGGCGCTGCTGCAGGTATTCTGCGACTTCCACATCGTTGGAAAGGGGTTGTACACAATGCTGGCGACTATATTGAAGGGCTGTAAAACATGGTGACATGAATCACTTTTGTATTCCTTGTAAATAAATAGTTGCCACTGTTAAAGTTCCAACCCTCGTAGATGCTTTAGATAATGTTCAGATGAATGGGCAAACAATTTGCATTATTGTATTATGTGATATGCAGTTTGTCCGTTGATATATTATGCATAGTGTTATATATTTCCTTAACTGTCATTAACATTATCTGCAGTTCCGAATAATTTTCTTGATTAGAATCAGATATATTGTTTTGAAATTAAGAAGTAGATTTTGTTTAAGCACTAATTCAATAATTTTAACTCTTTCTTAATTTTGACCTAAACAGCTAGTGTATTTTATATCAGTTATATTTTAATGGAGTCCAGATATTTTCAGTTATTATATTGCTTTATAAGTAGGGAAAGAATTTTTAAGATAACAGCATTTTTAAAACATACAGCAGTTTTTCATATAGTTTTAGGTATGTATGTCACTGTACTAAATAAAATATTTTATTGCACCTTTTCTTCTTTCTGTGGGAATGGCACTGCCCCTTCCTCTTCGAAAATTAAGATCTTTTGCATCTATTTTCTCTTATGTGATAATTTTTTTTTATTTCCAGTAGTTTCTGGGTTAATACAAAAAAGTTTCAACCATAGACCAACACTAAATTGCAACTAATTTGCTGTTTTATTTTCTCTGTCAATCCACATGCTTCTGCAGAATGTAAGGGAACTTACGAAAACAAAGAGATAGCTGGGTACCTTAAACATGATAGCTGCTAGTGTCTCTTGGTGATTGGGTTAAAAAATTTGCATTATCTTAATTTAAAAGGCTTCTTTGATTAAATGATCAAATTTAGTTAATTACTTTAAGTTATTATTAATTTTTTTATTATCGCTGAAAAGCATCTCATTTGAACCTATTGCTGTCTTCTGCTGTTGAACTAAAAGTCATTTTTATATAATTCTAATAAAAATTCCTTTCTGAGATCTCTGTGATCATAGCAGAACATGACAGAGGTCAGAGGGCAAAATTAATGGTCTTTCACTAGAATTAAAGAAGCATTTCATTGAAACTAATGGTCTGTTCATTCGATGTGGCATCTATATGTAAATATTGCTGTCAGTGAGAAGAGTCAAAGAAACGTTAAATCAGTGTATTCAGTGCAGCAAGTATATGAAGAATATGACTTCCGAAATTCAACAACCTAATCAAATTGTCTTAGCAGTTCAGTTGATCTATCATTATGACTGTAGTCCACTCCAATTTACAGGTAAAAAATCTACATTAAAATCGTATTTCAAAAAGTATACGTTAGTGCTGGAGGAAGGTATTCTGAGGAACAATTATTTTAACTTAATTTACAAAAATGTTTTCAAAGAAACAAAAAGAGGTGGTTGGCAAGTATGTATTGAGATTCATATTGGAAGTAACTGCACATAAGCTACAATGATGCATCTGAATATACTGGCATTTCCATTATCTGGCATGTAGATGAAACTATGTTTTTTATAATATACCAACTTGACAGGGAAAAAAAAAAAATCCTTCATAGTAATTTAGTTATTTAGTGAGTCTTACATAAATCTGTGCCCCTAGGCATACAGCATGAGAAAAAATTAAGTTTCTTGGGAGTGATCATATATGATACATGCTCTCTACTTTTGAATAGCTGAAAGAAAGGGCAGTTATATATTCCAAATTCAGCCATATAACATGCATTGCATGCAGGAGAAATGCAGATGGGTAATGACTTCATTTCTTCCTGAAAGGGGATTCTTACAAAAGCTTGTAGTCATAGTTTTGTACCAAGCCATTACTGTGTCTTTCACCTACCAGGATTCTTTGTTATAACATATATGCTAGTTGGATTCGATACATTGCAATTTTGGGGGAAACTTTGACAAAATCAAATGCTTCATATATATCCTAGATTTAATAGGTGCAATAGTGATCTGGTATGCTCAGTGCCAAGATCCTAGAACTAGAATTTTTCATAGTACTTAACTACTCATTACTGCCTAATGTGATTCAGAGTTTGGAAGAAGAATGTATGAAGGAGGAAAATGGAAGATGACAACTCTGAAGAATAATTTCAGTGGATTTGTCAAACTTGAATTATATATAATGACTAATTCAGACATGGAAGCCTTAGCAACTTCTACAGAATGCCTTCTATGAGTTCTTAAAAATGTGCTTTTATCTTTTTCGATATATTTTGTCCATTGATTCATGGGGTTTTCTTAAGACAAGCTTTTCCATTTGCCTGAATCCATTAGAAATGTGATTTGTCAGAGGCATTTTGCACTGAACAGATTTTTTTTACATGTATGTATTATAAATATTAAATAATATTTTTAAATTAATGAAACTTTTTATTTTATTATAGGACAGCAAATGCCATCTCCTAATCCACCAGGCAAAAAAATTTCTAGTCAGAAGCGCAGACGTAACTATTCTTCATATGAATGTGGTGCCAAAATTGTTGCATCTAATTCAGAAGCAGAAGGAACCAGTCGTATTTTAAATGAACTTGTGGATGAATATATGTTGAATCCTTGCAAAGCTAAAATTTGGTTTGTTATTGAATTGTGTGAAACAGTCCAAGCATCTCAGGTAAACTTTAATTATTATTTGAAAGCACTTTGTATAAATAAGTTTGTATTGATGTTACATGTTTATTTACCAAGGAACTTGGTAGACACATATATTTATAGTTGTGGCAGTGAAACTTTCAAAAATATGTAAATACTCTTTTGAAAAATATGTAAATATAGTTTAATAATTATTCAGATTATTTACATGAATTGTTATGCAAATTACATAAATGCATTTCACAATAAAACTGCTGGAAATGGAAAATAAATCAAGTTCTTTGCTTAAAATGCTGCAGGGAATTTGTATACTTAATTTGTGAACTTAAAATTTTGAAGCATATTATTGAACTCAAAGGTGCTATGTCCAATCTTTATTTATAAATGTTTATTTTTATATAATCTACGTTATTTTTAAAGTGTAAGAATGTTAAATGCTATTAAATAATATGTAATGATTGACTAAAAGAAATTATAGTCTATGCCTTCCCCAGAGCTTGAATATCTGGCATTTAACTAACCGGAAAACACAAATAACAGGGATATTTTAGACTTTTTCAATTGAAAAATTATGCCAGTGAGAGACTTGAGGCATTGTAAAGCACATGTAGGAGTACTGCTTGTTATTGATAACCAGGGATATGTTTCTTCCAGTACAATTGAAAAAAATTGATCCATAAATTTGTTTTGTCCATTGATTTAACATTTGGCTAAGATAATAAAGAATTTATACATACCTTTCTCATGTAATTCCTGTCAACCATTGTGTATAGATTCATTTAAAGCATGTCCCAGATTTAAAAATATGTTAACTCTGAGTTCAAAAGTAAATTAATCACATAGCAGTAAAGAAAGGAATTTATAATTCATCAAAAGAAATGTAAAATTTATTGCAGCAGAGAGAAGAGAGAGAGGAGCGAAATGATTTGATGAAAATATGCCTTCTTGAATGATCAAAGGAAAAGCCAAATTAAACTGGTGGTAATGTGCAAGAACAAAAAGAGGGCAAATGGTATGGCTTTAGGGGAAAATGTACAAAAAATGTTTAATTTTACCATATTTTCCAGGCAATTATGATAAGTAAACTTGCAAAAAGTGACTTTTATTATTAATATTTAAGTATACCTGCAGATGAAAGAGGGAAGATTAATAAAATATGATAATAAAGGGAAAATGAGGTTATGTAATTTTCTGATAATACGGTCATGGTTATTTAAAGACTACATTATTAAACATTAATGAATATTTATGTTTACTTAAAAGCTCAAATAATGAGAATTCGCACTTATTATTTATTATTATTATTATTAATATTATTATTATTATTATTTTTTGTATAAATTTTCCCTTATGTCATAGTTTTCAGCGTGGAGCTTTTAAATCTCAGTGGTTGGTTGGCTCCACCATTGGCCAAATGGTTAAAACTACTGAAAGCTGGGAATCCAGATTCAATCCGAGGTGAACAGGCTGGTTCCATGTTTGGTTTTCATGGTATTTTTAATATCTATCGTGAATATAGCCATTTCCTTGAGATAGTTTTCTGTTTAGACAGATAGCCTTCATGTGCTTCATATTCAGAGTAACCTAACATCAGTAGATAAGCAGAATAACCCAATCTCAGTGGATATGCAAAATGACCTAATCTCGATAGTACTACAGTGTAAAAATTAGACAAAAGTTTGAAGTTATCATTGAGTTTTAGTTATCTGGTATGTGAGAATAAATAAATAAATAAATAAATAAATAAAAATGATGAAGGTTTGCTTACATTTTAATTGATGTTATTTTTAAATGATAAATTCTTGGGAATTTTAGACACCATATTATTTTGTGTTTAAAAAGTATTTTTTTCCCCTTTCAGATTGAGTTAGCCAATTTTGAATTATTTTCTTCTTGCCCGAAAGACTTTGCAGTATATTCAAGTGATAATTTTCCTACACGAGATTGGATCCTACTTGGAACTTTTTCAGCAGTAGAACAAAGAGTTCTTCAAAGTTTTGAATTAAAGCAGGAAGGATTTGGAAAATTTATAAAAGTATGTTTTTTGCCTTTTGTTGTTTTTGAAAAAATTGTTTATCTTATGTACCTCATATTTATGCTTACACATATGTATGTGTTGTAATTATTCTTTATTAATGTAGTGATAGTGTGATAGTTTGAGTTATGAGTTAGAGCACTTGTTGAAATATGTAAAAAAGATTTAAGATTGTATTTAACAGGAATGAAACTGAAAAATCATGTTTGAAATGATTTACAAAACTGGTTGCTTGCAGGGTGACATCTTTGTAATAAAAATGAAAGTATATGAATAAAAAAGTAAAATGTTTATATATAAAGAAATAGGAAAATCAAATATCCATATTTACAAAATGTAAAATGAGAAGCAAAATGCTGTGAAACAGTTGAAAATACTGTACATTGAAAGCTCAGGACATGAATTTAATTTGCTCCTGAAGTCTGTTCATCAACCAAAATATTTATAAATAAATCAAAACAGTTTTCTCCATAGAAATTAATGTAAATAGATTAATTCATTCTTAGACATCAGATGATTGCTTATTTATAAACTATACAAAATATACTGCATGTACGTTTATAACGACGAAAATCATTAAATGTAAAACAAAAATATAAGCATGATATTAAATAGACAAAATAAGCAAAACTTTCATGAACACTGTACTTGCGCGAAGAAGAATATATCATATGTAAAAAAATTGTGAGGAAGATATTGTTCAGATTCCCCTTCCATAAAAACATCCAGTAGTTGTTTTTAGAGATGTCTTTTCTTTGTCTAAGCTCCACTCTGCTCTGCTTGAGATTCATTGGGCCTCCTTTTTACTCAAAATTGGTTCAGCGTGATTTATTGCTGCTTATGTTTTAAAATGTTTTTAAAATTAATATTATCATTGAAAATAATTATACTTTAGTTTATTACTGCTTTATCAAAAAGGTATCATTACATTAAAAACTGCGTCTTACTCAATTTTGCAGATTAGAGAACTAGGGCCATTTATTTTATTATTTTTTTTTTTATTCCTCTTCTTCTGAAGACATTTTTTCCCTAATCGTCTTTTGTTGCTGTTTCTGAAGTTGTGTAATTCTTATTGAGTTAGTTTTTATGTTTCTGTAATGATTTCTTGATATCTTCATTGTTAACATGCTAGATCATTGTTTTGTCTAGAGGCACACTTATCACAGATCCTTCCTCGGAAAAAAAAAAGTTTTTAAGTCCTATAAACCCAATCAGGTCGTTAAATTTCTCGAGGTCAAATTCATGGTCCTGTAAGTGACTTGCTGGCAGGCTCTGTTAATGAGGGTTAAGCAATAAAAAAACTCAAGTGTTTGCAACTCAAAACACCATTTGTCATGTGCGGTTCTCCTTCCCCCCCAGATATGGGGAATAATTAATCTGTCTGTCTAAAAAAATTCCTATTGTTATTATAATTCTGTTGAATATTAAAATACAAACACTGTGGATGAAATATGTGCTGTATATAAGTAAAGCACTGCACATGGTACTGTATGTAAATGTATGTAAATGTTTTTCTGTTATTCAGATTAAAAGCAGTTTTCTAGCATGCTCTAATGCATCTGATCTTTGGTTATCAATTTCACTTCCGTCATAATGTTAGCCATTTTAATAGCATCTTTGTTTTTGCAATTGATAACACCATCATACTCAGTATAGGGGGTACGCAAGGATTCAAATGCCACTTTGTTTATGATTATTTATGATTATGCCACTTTGTTAATTATTTGTTTATGAATTTATGAAAGAAACATAAAATCATTTGAAAATTCATAGTGTGCATTGTTTATCGAATAGTAGCAAGCAGCATACTGATACTCATGGGTAGTTGTAGCATTGTCTTGAAGCAGGTAAACAAGTGTAGTGCCTCTTTGAACTCAAGTCATTTTCCAAACAAATATCATATAACTAAACAAAAATGTTTCGTTCAACTAGGATGTATACCAAATTGGATGTACTTCTAAAGATGTATACTAAAGTACTACTACTGTAGTTGATTAGTGAAGTGAAGCATTCATGGTCTGAGGTTCCACTGTAATGGCAACATAAGAATAAAAAATAAAAAGCAGAGTTTATGGGAGAAGCAAAGGCAGCTATTAAAATTTCAGTTGCAAGAGAAGGACATTAGCTTTAAAATTCAGATTACCACACAGTGCTCTATATGTTACAATATGTAGTTTTTAATGTTATATGCTGTAATAACTTTTATTTAATAAAATTTTCAGTTTTGCTTATGTTTATTCTTAGTGCTACTCACTATTCCAGTAACTGAAATTTTTCTCAATTATGGGTCTGGAAGTTTTCCATGTTTGATAGAATGTTAGCATATTGTTGTTTCTTATCAATTTAAAAATATTTAATGTAATTTGCTTATTTATATTGCTTGAATATCTTATAATCCTTTTATAGATAGAACTATTAAGTCATTACGGAGGTGAACATTATTGTCCATTAAGCGTTGTACGCATATTTGGAACATCAATGGTTGATGAATATGAAGAAATGGAAACCTTGGCCAATCAAGTCAATATTCCTGATGATGAATTGGATAGGTTGGGTATGTTGCCATTTTTCAATTCTTATTAAATTTTTTATTTTTAACTCTTATTAAATTTGTTTGAGCCCTATTAAATTCAAATATAATAAATTCTTTTGTGTACTAATTAAAAGCATTTGAAAACAACAAATTTATATAATAGGTATCTGTTATTGCAATACTGTATTTCTGAAATTTGTCCATCTGCCTTAAAATTTGGAAAGAATACCCAATAAAAATAACATTTTCTATTTTTGTAGCATTTTAGTGTTTTCAATAATACTGATCTTAAGGAAACGAAAATAATTATAATGTTGGAGGGGTTAGGGTGTAAGGAACAAGTATAATTATGAGTGGATAATACTGAAGGCTAATTATTTTAACTATTTTTAGTGTCTGTCTCCATTGTAAAATGAAAAATAATCCATTGTTGGTATATTTTGATTCAAGGTAAAAGTTAAGTTACATTAAAAATCAGGTTTTAATGTCTCAGCTCACAAGTCCAAATAAGACTTAAGTGAAATTTGGGCTGTGGAAATCAGGGTTGCCACACTACCTCAAAAAACCGGAAAAAGTCAGGGGATTGAAAAATTTACCAAAAAAGTAAGGGAATTTAAATATTTTAGTCAAAATCTGGAAAAATTGGGGAATTTCATATGGGGATTTCCCCCAAAGCAATTTTCGTGTCATTGGAGGCAATAACTTTCTTGGCGAACCATGTATCACGTCAGTGATAATCGGACTGCTGGCATAGAGCCAATTTCACAGTGCCAGTCAGATTGCCTTTTAGAAAGGCAAAGCAAGTTTCCAGCATCTTTTTTGGTTTCCAGTAATCTCAAGAATCCAGACAATCGCATGTGTAGTGCATGTTGAATCGCAGTGCAGTGCATCTGGACTGTTTCTTCCAAAATTAATCCATTTAAGCTATCATGCTTGAACCTGTGCTGTGTCATACAGATTTCAGCCAAACATTTTATTATAAATACTATTGCTACTATTGTGCATTCCTTCCCCTCCACTTCACTTGTTGCTGGCAACATTATGTTTTATTCATTTTTTCAAGATATGTAAGATACAGAAATTATTGGGTGAATCTCACTCCCGAAATGGTATGTGATATAGAATGTGTAAAAAAGAATTAAGTGTTGAGAAATAACTCATGATTTTCCACCTTAGCTTTTATTCTTATGCCTCTGAGGTAACTATGCAGCAAAGTCTCTCCAAGTTATTACACTGCTCGGCATTGAAAATGCAATACCAAGAAGGAGTAGTCAGAAAGTGATGAAATTTGGAAAAAAGAGACATCAAGCAGCAATAAGTGATCTTTATTTCAAAATGATAGAATACAGAGCGAGAACGGCGACGGCTCAGTAGGATGTAGGACCACCGCGAACAGCGATGTACAAAGAAACACGTCTAGGCATAAGAGTCAATAAGAGTGCGGATGGTGTCCTGAGGGATGGCTCTCCATTCCCTTTCAACCTTTACAACAGTTCATCTTCTGAACGAGGCAGGGAAATTCTGAAATTATTTTAGGCAAAGTTAAATAATTATATTTTTGAATTTACATTGCAAATTTTGAATTATTACTAAGAATTTTATAATTTGAGAATGATTTATGAAAAAATGAATGAAGTAAGTTTGGAAAATTTACAAAGAAAAATGGAATAAAAATTTTGCTTTTGAGTGTTAATATAAAAATTTGAAAACTGTAATATTGAATATTGATATAATAAACTAATATCTGTATACAGAGATAGATTTTAAGATAAACTTTGAAGGATGAATAAAAAAATTATATATGAAAAAAATTACTATTTTGTCATATATCTTTTATTTTATAATAGTGGATTGAAGTTTTAATTTTTTTTAAAAAATATAATAGAATGTTTCAAAAAGGCCATTTACCTTTACATGGAACAGAAACTTTATAAGTAACTGTTTAGCAGATCTTTAACCATCAGTAAATTTATACATCAGTTCATTAAGGTGGGTTGCATGACAGATGGATATGTTTTTGGAGAAAGTTGATGGGTCTTCTTCTATTTTTCTGTAAAATAAGAACATTAGAAATGTCTTAATAATAAAAAACAGTTTCATAATACTATTTCAAATATGTTTCAAGTGCAAGTTATAATGAAGAAAATTATTTGTTATAAAGTTTAAAAATTTTTATATTTGTAAAAAGTTTTGAAAAGCCTTCCATGAACAAATACCATTATGAATAGAGTCTCAACCTTAATTGTGACAAATTATACTCACATTTGATTCTGTCTGTCTAGCTTTTTCTTCTTCTTCTTTTTTTTTTTAATATCTAAAATTGTTTTTAAAAAATCATTGTTGTAGGGTACTGTATAATTTCTTTTTATCTTATCTAAAATTGTTTTTAAAAAATCATTGTTGTAGGGTAATGTATAATTTCTTTTTATTATCTAAATTTCTGAGACATAACTTGAATATGCAAGATATTTGTATTAACATGAATCTGAATTTTATATATATTTTTATTTATTTTTTGCATACTTAATTTGAAGATATTTATGGCCATAAATCATAAATAGGGACTTTAATATACAGTTTGTCTGTAAAATATAATTACAAACTTTTAGGGGAGGTAGGACACATCATAAAGATTGAGAACTGCTTAGCAACCCATGACTGGAAATGTCCCATATGCTGCTAAGTAGTGCTGTGCACGAGAGCCTATGAAGAACATGCAACAGTTTGCAATTGGTGAGCTTGAAGATATGTAGTTAGTGTATGGAATAGCTGAGAGCAACGGGCGAGCCGTTGAGTGAATTTATTGAGAATCCTTCCCAGATGGATACCAACCACACCACAGTGTGTCCAAACATGTGCATTGAAATTTGGGCAAATATGGTTCATTAAGAAGCAGTGGAACTAGTGAGGGCAGGCCATGATCAATGCTTTCAGTCATTATGGAAAAAATTGTATTGGATATATGGAGACTAATCCCAGTGACAGCATGTATGCCATTGCCTCTATTTCCAGAGTGTCTCATTGCATTGTACAGTGTGTTTTGAATGTGGAGTATTTAACGCTTTTCATCTCCAAGGGGTTCAGTTACTGCTCTCCAATGATCCAGCATGTGTGCGTTTTGCACAATGGCATCAGCAATAAAGTGTCCAAGATGTGAATCTCCCAGTTTATGTGTTTTTCACTCATAAGGCCTCATTCATTAGGGATGGCATAATTAATCAAAACAGTGTGCATTTGTGGGCTCAAAAGAACCTCTATGGTTTGTGGCACTATGTGGCACAACATCACTTTGCAGCATATGTGTGGGCAGGTTTGGTTGGCCATTGCTTATTCGGGCCGTGCAAGATACCATCCCACATGATCGCTGTGAATTTTGGGATTTTTCTGGCTTACTTGACAATGTTCCAACAAACGTGAGGTGTGCGGCATGTGTTTTCAACATGATGAAGTGCCTGTCCATTTTAGACTGTTTTTTCATAGGCATTTGAAGAGCTCATTCATTCCTGCACGGATGGATAGGGAATGGTGGACCAGTTTTTAACCCTCATGATCAGTTGTATTATAGAGTCTTCATTTTTTTTTTTTTTTCTGTGGGGAAGCCTTCAAAGCTATCATGTATGACGATCCTGTGGAGTCTGAAATGGATCTCATGGCAAGACTCGTGTACTGCTGCTACAGTTAAAAAAGCTCCTGGTTTGTTTGCCAATCAGTATTTGTTCAAGCATCTGTTATAGCATTAGAGCTGTATTCATTTTGTATGCCATTTATACTCATGATATCCAATAAATGTTTCAAATTAACCACTTGCTTTTGTATTTTGTGATCTTCTGCCTCTGCTACCACTTATCCCTGACGTTTCTGGTCATGGATGGCTATGCAGATCTCAATCCTTATGGTGCGTGTCTTACCTTTCTAAAAGTTTGTCACTACATTTTTTAGACACCCTGTGTTTATACAACGCTAAAACTAGTTTACAGTGTTGAACACTAGAGGATTTACTTGCTCTTGTATTTAACTACCTTACAGTGATCAGCAAGTAATTATGCTGATTTGCTTTGCAAGGACCTGTCCATTTTAATCAAAGCTATTCTGTTATTATATTGCATTTTGTTAGTTTTCTGTTTATTAATTTCTAAAGTACATTTTACATTGCTTTTCAATAAGAAAATATGTGTTTTTTTATAATGAGTAAATGATTGTTAATTTTAAAAGAATCTTATGAACATGCAAAAGAAAATTTTGTTTTTATATTGAATACAAAAGTTTTTCTAAAATACTTTCAACACAAGGACAGTAAAATTAATATTGTGATTTCATGCAAAGATTTTCAAGAGCTGTGAACTTTTCTAAGTATTTCTTGCAAACTTTTAGAATTGGGCTGAAATTTTACATTTGTTTGTCAAAAACATATTTAAAATTTAGAATTGCTTGCTGCTGGCAGTGTGTGCTTCTCCATGTATCTTATTAATTGTAAGATACATAAAATTGTCACGTGTATCATGCATCTAGAATGATGTGTGATATAGAATGTGTTAAGAAGAATTAAGTGTCAAGAAATAAATTGTATTGTTATTTTCCACCAAGGTCTCCTGATTTTCCTTTGTTATGCCTCTCAGGTAACTATGCAGTAAAGCCTGTCAAGTTATTAGAACGTAAAGTACTATCGCCAGTCTATTACAGCTGTTCTCCAAATCATCCCATTACATATATGTATATATATACACCAAAGGGCCATTACATTATGGCTACTTTGTTAATAACATGTAGGGCCACCTTTAGCCCTCAAAAATGCCAGCACCCAGCGTGGCATTGACTCCATTGCTGATAGGTAGTCTGAGGTATCTGGTACCAAGCACTCACGAACTGGTCATGGCAGCATGAGTTTGTTTTTCCAGGTGGGACCATAAATACTGTATTGCAGTGATTCTCAATTGTTGGTATGCAAAGATACAAAGTATTTTTTACTATTAAATTAAAAAAATTAAATATCCCAACATCCTGTTTAATTTTTTTTCTCTAACACTCATAAATTTCTGTGATCTGATCTTTGTTCAGGGTCATTAGCTACTGGCTCATTAGATTTTAGCAAAATAAATTTTTTTTTCTATAAATATTCTAATATTTCACAATATGTACAAAATTTGTCATAGGTGATGTTTTTAAAAGGAGTAACAGAAATGGATTTTGTATTTAATAAGAAATAAAAACAAGTTCCTATTAAAAAGTTAATAGTATCTCATTAAATCTTTTAGAATTGATCAATTTATTAGCATGTCTACACTTTATATTGCCACCATTTTCAGGCCATATTACTCTAATTTCAATTAGAATACATTTTTTTACGTTGATTTGCTGTCTCTAACGGCATATATTTTGTCTCCTTCTTGCTTAGTATTCATTATTTTTCTATGCGATTTGAAAATATGATAATTTGTTTTTAAAGAACTCATATATTGTGTATTTAAAGATTTGTGAAAAAATGAAACAACAAACCTAAATTTTCAAAATAGAAAAAAGGCTAGGATTGACTAAGTTGTAAAATGATAATTCACAGGTGATGGATTCAAGACAATCTACTAGCACTAAGAATGTTGAAAATAAAAGAAAAATTGTGTATAGAAAATATAATGAAATTTATTTATTATTTGGGTATACTTGGAGTGGAGATGAAATTGACCCTCAACCTCAGTGTGTTTGCAGTGAATTGTTATCCAATAAAAACCATAAAATAAAGTATATTTCTTAAGACATTTTGGGTCTAAGCAGGCCAATTTAAAGGATAAACCTGAAGAATATTTTAAAAAGAAATTATTGGAGTTTAAAAATAGTAAACAAGTCATGAAAGGTTTTGTTACTTCAAGTGAAAAAGCTTAGGAAGCTAGTTGCCTAGTAAGCCTAAGAATTGCCAGGACTGGACAGGCTCACACTATTGGAGAAAACCTTATATGACCAGTAGCTAAAAATATTGCTTTAACATTATTCAACAAAAAAGCGGCTAATGAACTTAATAATATTCTGTTGTGAAATGATACAATAGGTCGACAAATTCATGAAATGGCAAATTCCATTTCATGAATTTGTCCACTTATTCAGAAAATGAAAACAGTGAGTATTTCACATTATAATTGGATGAAAGTACTGATATAACAAACTTTGTTCAATTATTAGTTTACATACATTCTGAAGAGGATAAAGAAATTGCCTTAGATGAGCTCATTGTCTTAGATGGAGCTGGTCATAATGTAATGGATCTTTGGTGTATATACATATAGTTAAGCATCTCATTTATAGTTAAAAAGTTTTATTTGCGGATGAATAATATCTGATTTGATTATCATTTGCACTAGCTGATTGTAATTCCAAAATCCATTCAATATGAGTCATTGCATAGAAAGAATAAAGAATAGTTCTTTAAAGCATGTTGCAACAATTTTCTGTATTTTCTAGACATACCAGTCGAAGATCAAAAGGAATCCACAAATTTGTTTGGGTCTGCAACGGATGCTGTTTTAAGTATAGTCAAAAAAGCTGCTCAAGCTTTGGGCCAGCAACAAGCACTTGAAGGTAGATTTTCAAATATTTCCTTCACTCAAATAAACTTTATAAAGCATTTATTCATTGAAAAAAGTTAGAAGTATTTTTTGTAGTTTATATAGTTTTTATTTATTCTTAGAAGGACAAACTAATGAGACAGCTCCAGAACAGCAAAATGTATCTGATGCAAAATTATGCAAGTATGTACTTGAAGACCACATTTACTTTTTATTTTGTTTGAATTATTATTATTATTTGTTGTTGTATTTATGGCAGTAATTCAGTGATTTTATACAAAACAGGATGAATTACTATCAGGTATTAGCACTTCATACTGTTAATTCCCTCTGCTCTATTGTGTACCTGGGGTTTTAATTATATTCCACATGTAAAATGTTAAGTTTGCTGGAATTCTTGGAAAAATTACCATTTGCTAGAAAGGTAGTCTAGATGTGTTTTCCTGTAATGAATATCTATCCATATTTGTTGAGGATGTGTTTTTTATTTAAATTTTATAAATTTTTGTTTAAACATAAATAAGATATTAGGCTGTTTTTTAAATTGTGAATATGAAACATTGCAGTACTTGTATATTATCCCCTCAACTATGCAAGTTGACTGCCATCAGCCAACCTGCTCAGATTTATGCTAAGTATTCCTATGGAATTCTGAATGCTTTTGTTGATTTCAGCTATTTTATTAGGCTTTCTGATTTTGCTGGAAGTTCTGTTTTGAACAATATGAGCACAAATTATTCCAGTCTACTGTTTTGTCATCCATATTCAGCTGATCATGTCATGGCCATTAATATACTTTTTCCTTCCATGTATGAAGTAGAAGAAGTATTGTAATCTCGAAAAATTTGTGATGTCATATTTCAACAGAAATATCTATTGGGATGATTTTCTTGCGGGACATCTGTACATACACACAGAATAAAGAACTCTTTTTTCCAAAGCAGATTGTAAAATGGATATAAAATTGATTGAAAAGGAAATTTTTCTTCATGCATGTATGTATCTTAAATAACTCAAAAACGATTAGCTGTAGACTATTGAACTTTTGTGTATGAGACTATTGTAAAATCTATTTGTGCATCTCTCTTTTCTGTTGCAATACTAAATGTATGCATGTATGTATTTGTATGTATATAATGCATGCATGCCCCTTTACCAAGTGTTTATTTTCGCAATTGTTGGTCATAATCATATATTTCCAGTTACAGAAGTATTTTAAATAATGTGAATATTCATGTCTTGGGAATGCCAAATTTTAAAAATAATTTTTTTTTTTTTTTTTTTTTTTTTTTTTTTTTTACAAATAGTGAAATCTAATTTTTAATGGGGGGGTCTCCCAGTTCCTATACTTACATTTAGGAAAGTTTCATACCTGTCACAAAGAAAAAAAAAAAAAAAAAAATTATAAGAAGTTTGACCACCTGTAGGACAAAAATTGACTGGGATATGTACTTTCAGAATTAAAAATTTTGATGTCATTTTCAACTTGTCTTGAGAGATAGGTTAATTAAGTTAGAATAATTCAAGGAAATAAGTTTAAATGAAGTGAAGCAAAAAAATGTGTATAATTTAAGAGGCTGTAAAGAAGTCATGGGATGTCCACATCAGAATTTTTTTATGTAGAATCCCATAAATTGGGATTGGCTGTTCCCATTGGCTGTTCTGTCTAGCAGTCCCAAATTCGAATAATTTCACCCCCCTCCCCCAGATGCAAGAAAAAAGTACAAAAACAATTTGTATCTTGTTCATAAAAACATAATGTGGCTTATGATGGAAAATCACAAATGAAAGTACATATGTTGTGAATATGTTATTACATCGCATCCATCTATAATTGGTGCTAAATTCTGCTACTTGGTGACAGTTTCAAGGTTGAGGGGATAATATGCTAAGAACCATGAAGTCTTCTAGTATCAATCTTTAAAACTGGAGTATTTGAAATAAAATTAAATATTTTGAAAGCAAACTGTGTATAATGTGATTTTAAGATGTATACTTTTTCGATTTATAGACAAAATTAATATCCTTTTTATGATTAATTAAACTTTCGTTTAATTAAGAATCTGCTATTGAATGTTTGAATAACTAGGATCTATTGAATATTTGAATAATTAAGATACAGTAGTTTGAAAATCGTTTGACATTCGTTGTAACAAATCTGATGACATTCGTTGTAACAAATCTGAGTGTATGAATGCATCAAATTGAACTTTGCTAAGAAAAGAAATTGATGCTTCTTTCTTTTATTTGAGATTAATTAAAAATATGATTGAATGATTATAAGTGTAAATGCTAATAAACATTCATTTTTTGATTAAATAATTCTAACATGATTTTTTTTCCTGTTCTTACCCTTATTTAAAGACATCCCATTGTTGTTTTGCCAAGTTAAAAAATGGAAATTCTGAATTTATCCAAGAAATAATATGTTAAGATTTGTGTGTGAAGTGGAATATTTACATCTAAATATATACATAAATAATTGTGTTTGTAAAGAAATCCAAATTTTTGAACAATGACTCTAATTTTTTACAAAATTATTTGTATTTTGCCATACCCTCCATTAATAAATATAACATTAATTATACCATTAATAAATTATACTATTAATAAATATGATTTAATATTTCAAATAATTTTTCTTCATTATTATGATAAAAATTTGTGCTATTTAAGAATGTAATCTTAAATTTGGACATTTAACTCCTGATTTACAAGGAATGGCTTAAACCATAGAAAATTGAAGCCTTTGCCAATCTGTATGCTTAAAATACCAAAATGCCCAAAACTCCTTTCAAGATTCACAGCAATTTCCTCCTCCTCTTGTTCATTAATGCATAAAGAGGTGTGAAGATTTCAATGATATACTTCCTAACAAAGAAGCTTCCATTAGTCTTTTAGGGCAAGCTGTCTTTATTAAACTGATACAGTGCATTTGGGGAAATTGCACTTGCTACTGTGTACCTTAGGGTGGAGAAAAAAAAACAAGATCACAGTCTCAGCTGTTTCGGGCTGTTGTGGTCATTTAAATGAAAACCTTCTCGGGTGTTTTGCCTTGGGTTATTTCGCTGGTTTGCTCTTGGCATATGATTTGAGCTCATAATAGTAAATGGCAACAAATCACTTCAAGGTCATAAAAATGTATTCTTAATTATAGTACAATAATTGTAAAATACTGATGATCATTATTTAAAACTGAATCATCAGAAATTGCTTATTGTTTGTACTATTTTCTGATTATTATTATTATTATTATTATTTTTTTTTTTGTTAATGATGCAATAAAGAAATGTTTTGTAATTTTTAAAAATTACTTTGAATTCCCCTTTTCAGAGAGTTGAAAATGATTTATTTGATGGAAATTTATTTCAAGTTTTGTTTCTGACATCTTGTTAAGAATTTCTGTCACTGATGAGAAATGCAGTGTTAGAACAATCATAAGACATTTTTTATTGATGGGTTTTTCCATTATAGATTTATGAATTTGAAATAAAGCTTATTATGCAAAAAATTGCTATGGTTTAAAGTAAGTGTAAAATGTTGACATTTATGAATGATTTGTTAATGATAATCATCATCATATGTAAAGGTTAACTTGTGCCACAAGATATTATATTTGCTTTTAATAACAAAAGTCAATTTACCATAAAATTGCTTTGCCACATGAACATTGTTAGTTAAAATTTAAAACGTAATGGATTTATTTATTTTTTTTTTTCTGTTTCAGATTGGTTGACAGAGCTTCAAACAAATGTGATGATCATATGCTGAGTGATAGTGAAAACATTGGTTCATCAATTGAAGATCTCCCTCTAGCTCCAAGCTCAAGCAATTTATCATTATTCCGTCTTTTGCAACGTTGTGATCAGTGTGTCTCTTCACGAATTCGTTACTATTCATCGGCTCAGCCACACTGTCGATTCTTCCAAGCTGCTTTAGGACCAGTTGTTTTTCAGAAACTTTGTGATTGGTTTAAGGAGCATCCTCTTGTTATAACGCATGAAACATCTGTCTCTGGGAAAGAAAATGCATATTCAGGTAGCTCCTTTGTTGTATCACCAACTAAAAGCCCTCCTCCACAGATTATGAGAATTCCTGTTGACAGTGATTCTTCCTTAAAAAAATTAATTCCAAATGATTCTTTCCCTTCTCTTAGCAAGTTAGACAAAAACGTCAATTTAAATATTTCTGATGGAACTCTTCGTAAACTAAATAAATCTGTTGTACTTACAGACCACATCGTACTAGAAACTTCAATACATCCAACTCGTACTCAACAAAATGGGCACAGTAGTACTTACAGTGATAGTAAGAAGATCTCAGAGTATGATCAGTCGAGCGGAAGTTCGCCTCTTGCTGATTCTGTGGTTGAATTACCTTCTAAAGTTACAGTTCCTTTACCTGAAAAGACAGATGCATTTATTGAAAAGAGTCCCACTGAAACACTATCTGTTAATGCTAATGATAATTCTGTACTTAGTGAGATGTTGACAGACTCTGAAGAGCAGCAAATCACTGATTATTTATCTGAATCAAGCACTACTACTTCCCCTGAAGAGGAAATAACAGATACTGTATCACCTATTGAAATGCCCACAAATAATCGAACAGGAGATGAGAAACGTATGGACATGCGAAGTGAATTTCAAGGGAAACATGAGCCTATTACTGCATCTGGTGTCTCTACTGCTGGCCAGAAAGAATCAGTGTTCATGCGAATGAGCAATCGTATAAAGGCCTTAGAAATAAATATGTCCCTCAGTAGTCAGTATTTACAAGAGTTAAGTCAAAGGTATCGCCGACAGATGGAAGAAATGCAGCGTGCATTTAATCGCACCATAGGAACATTAAATGATACTGCTAGGAAAGCTGCAGAAAAGGTAAGTGTATAATTCCATGACATTTGCAATAAATTATATGGCTCAAACCTCCATTAATGGACACTTTGCATTAACAGACAATTCCTGAATTCTCAAAGTGAGATATAATTGCATTTTAATTTATGGGATTATCTCTAATAATGGACAAAAGCTTTGATCTAATGAGTGTCTCTTAATGGGAGGTTTGGTTGTAAATGTCTTTTGTTTAGACTAAACTAAACTGAATAATAAAAATTCTGAATTATAATTAAAGGCCCAACTTTATATCATACAAATAACTAAAAAGCTCGGGTAACAGGAAAATTTTAGAATTTTAGTTTTTTAAATATCCTTTTGAAAAAAAAATCAAACAAATGGGAGATTTGTAAAGTACATGCAGCGGTCTAAGACTTTTCGCCATCACCGTTTCACCGTCAAGACATATTTTTCTTTACATGATTGCATTTTATCTTACAGTATTATACTCGTATTAAATTTATTTAGTTTAATAATTCTGTTAGCTTTTGTATACTTAATAAAGGTTGTTTTTAATATATATAGTTATTTAGAAGTACGAGATATAAAGAAATTACACGTAGTTAGTTGCAAAATTATGTGAGTAGCAAAGAGAGCTGGGGCTAAACTTCTGATATAACAGAAGCTATGTTATCGATTTTAAAATTATGCAGGTACAATATTTACATGATTTCTTGAAATTTTAATTGGCTAGTTCAGAGAAATCACTCATACAAGCAGGAAATTCACATTTTATGAAATCTGAATGGAAAACGGAATTACTTTGGAATCTTATCAGCACCTTACTCTCTTAAAATTAACATGTTCGTCTGTAGCAGTGTATTTGTATGAAACTGTACATGAAAACATTTTATGTATTATTTAGTATCAAATGCTTATTAAATTATTAAACTAAATAAAGTTATTAATTTAAATCAATATAATAATATGGCAAGATATAATGCAGTCGTGTGAAGAAAAATATGTCTTGATGGCGAAACGCTCCCCATGTTGAAATGCCCCAATGGCGAAATGGCCGTGGCGAATATTCCCATTCCCAATGCAGGACTCTTAAAATACCACTAATAACTTTTAAAATGTGTATAGAATTACCAAGCTCTGTGCTTACATTCCACCACTATCACTGTATCCATTGCTGCAAGAATGTTTCCTTGGAATAGATGCACAAAGAAATATGGTGAGTTATTATTGCTCTGGAACATGCGAGAGATTCCAAAAGACATAAGAAGCATTTATTTTGTGTATTGCGAGTATATTTATTGAGGGCAATCAGTAGAGTAATAGGCCTTATGTATTTAAAGAAGGGATGAGTCAGGTAACAGTTTTATTGTTCTTTTCTTTTTTGACAAATGTTTGGCCCAGGAGAGGCAAAACGATATTACAACACATATTTTACCTGATGTTAAGCCATTATATAAGTGCAGACAGATGGCAAGCCATTATATAATTGCAGACAGATGGCAAATTTTAATACTTTTCATCAAGACATCTCTAAGAAAAATGGATTAGGGCTTTTTTCTATGACAACAGACAGCTGTAGACATTCTGTCGTGGTATTCTTGTGATAGGCAGGCAGTGCCAAGTTCCTTGCATAGGGTGGAATTGAGATGAAGTGGCCTTAACACAAATGTTTCAACAGAAATTAAATTTGTTTAATCTCTTGCAACAGATATTTGGTCAATTGGTTTTATTGGGAGCAATTTTGAAGTGTTTCAGAGAATCTTTTTAGTGTGGCAGTAAAGTAATCTCTTATATTTTGATTAATTATCTAGATTCTGCCTGAATGCTTGGTGCAAGTTTGGCAGCATCTCTGCCAACTGTTTGCTGCATTTTATAATCAGATGTTTTAATTTCATATGTTGAAGGTCTATGAAGTATGTTGGATTTTATGTACAAAATGCATTTCTTCCTCGAAATTTTGCCTAGTTTTTTAAATTTGATAGTCTAGCTAAAAATAAATAAGATGAATATCTTTATAATTTTAGACCAGATTTTTTTTTCTACCTTCACAAATCTTTTTTGCCATTAATTCTATTTGTATATGCTCAAATATCTGGAAATTTCACCTATTCAAAATGTGGCATTTCTCGAGCATTTGGGATGATTAAGCTTTTACTGTACTTGTTTCAATATTTTGTGTGTTTGTATATATTACTATTCTAAAAAAGTAAAATACCTATAAAAATAAAGCTGCAACTTTTATTGTTCAGGATATCTAAAGTAGAGGCCACAGAGCAACTGATTAGCATTTCAAAATAATGCATAATATGTCTGTCGGTAAATTTGGTACTCAATGTGTTTGACTTTAGCTTGCATTGTTTGGTATGTACACTATAGTATTGAATTAACTAAATTTTTAGTGGTGTCCTATGGACTAGCTAGCCAAGCTGAATTTGTCCGATTTCAGACTTCATACACATTTGTTAGAGAATTGCCACAATGTGCTACCATTTATTTGACCTCATTTCTCGCTCATTTTTGATGGGGTTCATTGTTAACTCTGATTTAGGGGATCAAAGAAGGGAAATTGTTACTCTGAAGAAGGCTCCTATTGTTTCAGTATTAGGAGAGGCATTGTGCTGAAAAATTATCCTGGGGAAAATGTGCAAATGCATCTGGTCGAAAATTGTTAATGGTGTGTTGAGCACTGTTCTGGTGGATTGAACTTTTATAAGAGTTGATCTATTGTTCAATCCAGTGGCATTCCACATAAGAATGTCCTTGTTGGTGCCATATATCCAGTACAGTCTTCTCAATGTCTTTAACCCTACCAGCCAGCCAGTGATAGATACACATATGGCATAATGTGACAGATGACATTAGCAGATATCTGATCATTCACTAGTTTTGGCAGTAATGCAGAACAATATACCAGAGGCATCCAGATAAGGTTATCATACTTCCTTGGTGTTGTCTGCATGTGATATAGAACTTTCTCTTCATGTCTTACGCCCTTCTTCAAGCCAATCACTGTATGCTGTTTCAACCTCAGAAACACTCTATCATATTATCCTGGCAATAACACTGAAAAACGTATGGATTTCTATTATTCCAATAATAAATACATCCTTTGTCAAAGTTGATGTGAATATGCAGTTACCTTAATATAAAGGCATTCTTGCTATTGAACAAGAATTAGAATTTCTTGCCAGCTCTGATGTGCTTATAAAAAAATCGAGGCTTTTATATGTATAGGTATGTTTTGAGTTTTCATTCACGAAAGTGAAACTGAAATTGTTATAATTTGTTCTGGATTGCTTATTTTATGTATCTTGTGATAATAAATGTTGTAGGTACATTCTTTTTACCTATACTGTGTTAAGAATAGTAGTGTATAAATTTGAAAATGTGCATCAGTGATTAACTTCAAATCTACTTCAATAAAATTTTCAAATCGCATTTTTGTATACTGTAAATATTGTGAAAACTTTGCATTGGTCTGTTCTGTACATTTGATTTTTTTTCTCCTGTAGTTGTTTTGCAGTATATAATTGCTGGTTCGGGATTTTAGTAAATCTCTAAAGATCTTAAAATAATGGTAACAACTTCTCTAATTTTAATATAAATTCAATTTGAATTATTATGACTTTCTGATGACAGTTGAAATCTTTATATTCAGTAATTTGATTCCTCTTTGGCTGATTAGAATGCTTTGTGGTACTTGCATAATTATTGCCGAGATCTTTAGTTGCATTTAACATAGCTTAGTGATGTTCAGAATACTGTACTCCCTGTATTTTTTGGTATTTCAGTAAAATCAGACTTTTCAAAGGTAAATGTTCTAATCTGTGACAGTTTTGTCTACCTTGTTCATTTCTTTTTAGTAAACCTGGACTGATTTTAACTATTATGTCATAAATGAATGACAAATTTCTATTCCTAATAAAGACTGAAATCAAAGTATTGGATGAAAAACCAACTCTAATATATTTTTAAGAAATATAACAATTTGTTAAAAAAGAATTGGAATGTTATCAATGTGAAAAAATGAAGGAGAATATATTCAAATAGTGAATGATTTATTTCCTTGCGACTGTCAACGAGAATACGAGAGAGCTCTGTGGCTGGTATGTTTTGTCCAAAAATTAGGTTAATAGATTGCTGTATTTTTTGCAAGCCTACTGTTTATAAAAAGTTGATAAAAGTTATAGATATGTAAGAGAAGCTATTTTAGTCCTTTCATGGCATAGGCCTATGATGTATGCAATAGATTAACATATCACAGATAGTTTGAATTGTTTCTTATATTTGTATTGTACCATTTTATACTTACTAATACTATAGTATTGAATACTAAAGTTTATTTTCATAAATTTTTTCTAGTATTTGACAATTTTCAAATAAAATTTCTAGCCTTTTGTTTTACTCATATTTTAAATACATTCTTTAGAAAGAAAAAATATCATTATTGGTAAACTGGTTCTAATTCCTAATTTTTCTGAATTACTGGTAATCAGAACATCAGTACATTTATAATTTCTACTTTATGTAACTTAAGAAAATTACTTTTTGTATATTCTGGAAGTTTAGCAAATTTTTGTTGATGAAATTCTTTTAAAATTGTGTTTTAGGAAAATATATTCATATTTCAGTTGGTCGTTATCTTCAAACATAGAAATATAATCAAAAATAAACAAATTCTGTTCATCTTTTGAAAGATTCAAGGGGCTTAAATTTTAAATGCCCTGCATTCTCTAAAGATATTTGAAGGTAGCTGAGAAAATTGATATTTCTGTTCTTGAGAAATGTAATGCTTAGTTTTTTTATTGGAAATAATTAAAATAGATGCCAATGTAGATTTGATTTGTGAGAAGTGTTTTAGTTGTGTCATACATTGCATTATGTATTTTGCAAGTGCAGTTTCAGTTTTTTTTTTCAAATAGAGTAAGCAGAAATATATGGAGTATAAACCTAAGCTTATTTCAAGTTTTATTTTATAATTATTATTATTGTCTTTTACAAAAAGCTTTTGCACAACTCTTTAATTGCTTGCTTTGAAAAACTACACACTGTTTGTTGTATTTAATATATAGATCTAGATTGGTGGTAAATAAAGTATTCTGCCACTCTCTAGCAAAAATCCTTGAACACGTCATGTGCATGAGAGATTAGCTGTGAAGACATGTTATGTATATATATGATTCAGTAACTTGCAGATCAACTACATGAGTGTATTGAGTACACCTACAAGGGAGCAAGCAATACCATAATGGACTGTTTTCTGTGCATAAAAACCTATTATTATTAAAAAATGTGTTTGAAAATATTAACTGTTTAATAACCATTAAACAGTTAATATTTTCAAACACTTTTTTTTTTTTTTTTTTTTTTTTTTTAAATTTCACACAAAAGGTATATGTTGTAGGTGACATGAACACCATTCAGAAACATAGCTTTCAAGCTAATGTTTTTCTTGCTTTATAGGCGTTAATGCATAGCCTGTCACAAATGTGCTTATACTTGCAAAAAGTATTCATACCTTTGACCTTGCTGTTTGTTTCCAAAATGATGTATTCAGGAGAAAGTACATTTAAAGAGGTTTCAGTATGATAGCTGCCACCATTCATTTAAGCTGATGAAACAGTATAAATATTAAAAAAGCTTTATATTCTGAATCAGTTGTTTCATTTTCTGTAATGTTTACACTAATACTGATTTTAAAAAAAATTGCCTTTTTCCTTGTGAATGTTATATATTTTCCATAATATTTCTACATCCATTTTATATTTTCCTATCTTTTAACAAATTTTCTATCTAAAATTTTAATGCAAGATGATTCAGTTTTGAAAGTGCACAGCAGGCACCAGTTAATTTTGAACTTCCTTCAATTTTTTTTTAATTAATCCATTAACACGGTTTTGTATTATTTTCATTTGGATGTTCAAATACAAACATTTGTTGAAAAATTCAGTGGTTTGTGGCATTTTGAGGAAAATAATAGATTTTTATGCAAATGTTTATATATATATTAGGTTTTATATATATATAAAACCTAAGATATTTTTCCCATTTAAAACCAAGGAAATGCTGTTGAAATTTAGTCACTATCTTACTAATTCATAAGTATAAGGGTATATCACTAAAATAAACTTATGGATTCTTGAGCAATTGACTGTAGAATTTTCTATGGGTCAATGTTTTGGAGCTCTTGGCTAAATTTTATAGAATTTATTTATAGTTCAGGGTTTCAGAGCTTTTTGTATTAATTGTAGTAGAAAGCAGTATTAAAATTACGTGGTATAATAAATATTTCCATAAGTATAGCAGAGAGTTAAAAGAATGCTAGAATAAACCTAAAGTTCATGAATTAAAAAAAAGTGTGATATCTGAAATTGTAGAAAATTCCTTAAAATTCACGAAAATAGTTACAGTTGAAAAGCTTGTGCTATGGTACATATTGTCCTAATTATGAATCCTAAAAAATGCAGATATTATGCTTATAATAAAAATTATAATTCTAAATATTGAAAATTAATGCTTTGAAGATATGTATAATTTTGTTTGCTCTCCTTTTAGGATTTAAAACAACAAGAAGTTCTAAATAGTTTACAGCTGCAAGTTGCTAATCTTTCAAAAACTGTAGAAATGCTGTTAAGTGAGCGAACATCTGTATTCCGACAGGTAACATTTCATCCTGTATGCATGCATGTTTGACTGTGCACTTAAAAATTCTTTTTAATGGAAGACCATACTAAATTTACTTAAATATAAAATTATCTATTAATTGTAAAATAAACTTGAAAAATTAATAGAATAAAGCGGAATTTGTAGATTTATTTTACAGAAAAATATATTTGAGAAATTGTAGAAAGAGCTTTAATTAAATTTTTATTCACTTTTTTCACATTAACTTTTGTTTTGAAGGTTAAGGTAAACTTATAGATACATAATGAGAGATTCAGATCTCTAAGACTAAAATCTTGTAATTGGTAATGGGGGGGGGAAATCAAAGTTTGTAGTTTTTATAAGAATTCTTCAAACATAACTTTAAAATAAATGAAATCACTATTAAAAAGTTAGTAAAAATTGCATATTTGTATTAACATGCATAGTTCAGAAATTAGGATTAAAGGGTGTTTGACTAGAGTTATTAACATCTGATGCTAAAATTATAGATTAGGTTAAATTATTTGCAGTGATATTGATAAAAGAAATATACTCATAGACTCCAACTACTACGGATTCTCCGTAGTTTCTACGGAAATTCATGAAAAACTACAAGCTACGAAAAGTATGGAAAAAACTACGGATTTTACAGAAACAAGAGCAGGAGAACCAGTACGCAAAACGGAACCAACTAATTCATCCGATTATTGGCTGAATACTCGTGTTATCATATATCACGTGTTGAGTGCGTTCCTAGTTTTGAAGAATTAGCCAATCGTAGATCAGTAACTCCAACCGTTAACGACTTATCAATAGTTCCACCCAATTGTCTGTCTCCCAGGTTCCTCGCTGATGCGTGTTTAGGCTGCATTCGGCTGCATTGTGTAGTTTACGGCGAGAGCTTAGCGTGTGTCTTGTGAACTGTGAATCAGGTGAAAGATTTTTAATCATAATGCTGCCTCGAACGAAGAAGCCAAAATTATCAGAAGCCAAAATTATCAAAAAGCAGAAGTTTAAAGATTCATATTCTTCAGAATTTCCATGCATTAAAGCGTCCGAAATTTCTGTGAATCACGCACACTGCAGTGTATGCAACAAAGACTTCTCAGTTGCTCATGGCGGAAAAGATGACTGTAAACGGCATGTGTTTTCTCAAAAGCATATAGAACTTGGCACCGTAAAATCTAAAGAAATAACAAATTTCTTAATAAAAGATGATGAAACAGATCCTATAAAAGCCGAATGCTATTTTGTTCGTTTTTTAATTGAACATAATCTACCGCTTTCTGTTTCGGATCATTCCAAAGAGCTTTTCAAAGCAATGTTTCCGGATTCTGCCATAGCAAAAAAAATTTAGCTGCGGTCATACCAAAACTGCTGCTATTGTGAAAACGCTTGCAGAAAATACTGTTGCTGATATTATAAAATCAGTGTGCAGTACATCATTTTCTCTAAGTACTGATGGAAGTAATGATAACAATGATAACAAACTGTACCCATTGGTTATAACATACTACAGTAAAGAAAAGTAAAGAAAAGGGAGTGATAATTACTTCATTGATTTCTATTTTAGAATGCACGAATAATACAGGAGAAGGTATTTTTAATTGTATAAATGAAAACTTTAAAAACAAAGGTTTAGAATGGAAAAATTGCTTATCATTTTCTTCAGATAATGCTAGTAATATGATTGGAAAGTTTAAAGGTGGTGTAGCATCATTTATCAAAATGCATCAACCAAGTATAATCACCCGAGGTTGTCCGTGCCACCTCTTGCATATAGCTGCAAAAAAAGCTACTGAAAAATTAATTGGCTCAGAAATTGAAATGTTGATAATAGATATATATTTTTACTTGGAGAAAAGTTCGAAACGGAAGCATAGCTTCAAAGTTGCTCAACAAATTTTGGGACAGAATGCAAAATCTCATAAAATTTTGAAATATTGCAGTACGAGATGGTTGTCTCTTTTAGAATCTATAACAAGGATTTTGGAACAGTGGGATGCTGTGATAAATAAATTTTTTTGGAGATAAACCAGATAACAGTGAGAATGAAGGAAAGAGATTGCAAAACATTAAAAAAATTTTACAGTCACCGACCACCAAATTGTACTTGTTATTTTTGAAAAATACTTTGCCTTTGTTTATAACAGTAAATATTAATTTGCAACAACAAGCTCCTTATATACATAAATTGAGAAGAGAACTTTTTGAACTTTTAATGAATTTATTTGTTAGATTCGTAAAACCATCAGTAATTTCTAAAGAAAATGAAGAAGATGTTACTCTAACGTCTATTCCATTTCAGAAGTATAGTAAACAAAAAGAAAATGAAAATTTAGTGATTGGTGCGGAAACAAGACTATATTTAAAAAATGCCAAGTTGAATGAATGAAGTGAAGTGAAGTGAAATCATTTTTCAATTCTGTGCGAGCTTTTTTTGTAACTGCATGTTCATATATAATTGATAAATTTCCACTGAGTGATCCATTTCTAAAACATGCTGAAGTTGCTGACATCAACTTGAGAACTGAAGTCTCATTTTCATCTGTTCTTTACTTGATGAATACTTTTCCATCCATTATTGATGAAAAATGTCTTAATCAAGTAGAAATTGAATTTTCCATGTATCAAGTAGATGATTTGAAAGAAATTGTAGATTTGCGTATTGATATAGCATGGGGAGAAATTGCCAAATTAAAAAATATGAATGGGTGTATTAAATACAAAGTATTGCCTTCTGTAATGCTTGCTGTCTTAATAATACCTCATTCAAATGCAGCTTGCGAAAGAATTTTTTCTATTGTTAAAAAAAATCAGACGGAATTTCGACCAAATTTAGGTCTTAAAACTCTTGAAGCAGTTTTGATTGAAAAAATAAATATGCAGGCAAATGAAGAACTGTGTTATAAAAAAACATTCTCAAAATCAGAACTTAAGCTTGCTAAGCATGCTACATATAAATCTTTGCATTCATAAATTATGCGTATTTTGTTTAATACTTATATGTATCATTCTTGGTTATTTAAATTTTATTTCCCTGTAGAAATCATATCCAGAATAAAGATATGATTTATAGCTTCTGATTTTTTCTATGATTAGTAGTGATTTGAAGTACTTTTTATTAGTGAATGCTTGAGGAGTTAAAAGAAAATTTCTAATTAAATGTGCATATAATTTACAAGGTATATTTTTAATTATTCAGTTTTATATGTATATGGATTTTAAATGTAATAAAATTGATTACAATTAATTATTAATTTAAAATTAATGAATGGTTAATTACAACATACGCTACGCGCACATTTTCAAAGTTGTAAAAATGTCGTTCGCGCGTTGACTACTGACAAGGTTTGCTGAAGGTTGGAGTCTATGTATACAGTATATTAATCTGTAATAAAAATAAATTTGCTTTTGTCTAAATTAAGTTTGGATTCAATGTAACTGCATAAAATTTCATAAAAATTGTTCAATAAATAACTCATTCCTGTTAAATTGGAAATATCAGTTGTTAAGCAATTTTGATGTTAGCTAAAGCCCATTGTTACATTAAATCATTGTAAAATTTTCCCAGGCTGTTGCTACATCCCAAAACATTTTTCCAACCATCCACTTTCATGCAGATTTTATGAGTTCTAAGGATAATGTATTCTTTTGTTAAAGCAAAATAATGTTGCAAGATGTATAATTTTATCAATGTTTCATCAGTTTTCAGAAAAGCTCTTGAATTTTGCATATTTTCTTCTTTAAAATGAATTTTTCCATCATTTATGAGATTTGATTTAGTATTAGGTAAGTGATGAAAGATTTACCAATTTCCAAGTTTATAAAACTATTGAATGCTAGTATGCATCTGCTAGGCTCTGATTCGTAGCAGATGGCTGTATGCAGTTTTCCAAGTTTTGCATGCTATAAAGACTTTTATAGACATGTTGTGTATTGTCTTTGAGGGCTAATTCAAAATAAATAATCAGTATTTTTTATTGAGTACAGAATATTTTGTATATTATATGAAAATTAGAGTAATCAATAGTTTGATGAGGCCAGCTATAAATTGTACTTTCCAAAAGTTAAGCATGCAATACAAATTACAATTTTTGAAGTGTTGTCGAATTTGAGTGGCTGAAAATCACTGTGGATACAGATGGCAGTATGCAAATATTTTAAGTTACAGCCAAACATAACATTCATTTTCTGAAAACAGATGACTGTCCAAACATATGCTAATTAATTGGCACTCATTGAAGATGCTAGCATTTTAAAGGGTTTGAGGAGTTTCACCTAAATATTGATTTGAAGTGTTTATAACTTTCATAGGATAATTTTTTATAATATTAATGTTTTTATGGTTAAAGTAAGGCAAATGGCAAATAGGAGTAATGGTGTGTTGTTGGGTGCATTGAGGTGGGATAGTCAATAAAAGGTGTCATTCTTTTCTTTGGTATTGATTATTCAGTAATTTCGTGAAGGTGGAAAAAATTTTGGGCAAGTCAAACCTTTGTCTGAAGACCTATACCCAGTCTACCAAGAGTTACCACCCCTTCTAAAAGTCAGTGTATAGCCATAATATAATAACCAAGTAGAATTGACAAGCAACCTCCCCAACTATTACATCTATGGTTGCAGCACATCTTAACATTTGTTAAGACAATATCTGCCAGCACTGTATACCGAAGGCTTTATATGAAAGATTTTCCCAAGAACCAAGTGTTTGTGTTCCACTAATTGCCCATTTAAGAAAGGCAAGATTATTGAAGTAATGTTTTCACTATTTCAGTTGGACTGTTTCAGATTGGTATAACATTCTATTTACAGATTAGTCCAGATTTGTTCAGGAATTAGATCATAAAATAATAAGAGTTGGAAAGAACCAGGCACATGGAATCAGACCCATAAACATAATCAAACTTCACACATTCAGAGGTGGCATCTCACCCCATTGTGAGGCCTTACACTGCAGCAGTTGGTTTATGATTTCCTTCTTATGGATTATGTCCATCCCCATTGAGCTAACATTAATAGGAAGAGAGTGAGGGCATTTTTGATATGGAGTTTCTGTGCTATTTTTCAACCTATCGTTTTGTATATTTTGGATGACACTGGTCATGCTTTCTCTACATGTTTGCCTCCAACTAGTGTTAGACAGGTGCATAATGCTTTAATGGAGAAATAGCCTTTTCTAACATCTGCAGTTCACAATCACTGTGGAAATTGTGTTTAGGTTAAGGTCCAGAGTGCTAACATAACCTTATTAATGTTCCCCTCACCCTCCTGTTCTTTTCGTTGTTAGCTTTAAACACCAATTTGTTAATGATCCAAATGTGATATTATCATATAATTTATGAGAATTAAATATTATTTTCATCTTGGTACATAAAGATTGTCTTCTTTCATACATAACCACATTTGCTACCATCGTGGATTTATTGTTAATCAAAGCTTTACATTTCCATTTTTGTTGATTTTACTATTACATGCTTAACTTTTATGAGCCATTGCATGTAGCTAGACTTTTAGGAATTTTTGTTTTGCAGTTTCTTCCTGAACTTGATCAAAAAGTGCTATATTTCGTGAAAGGTCATTTCAGTCAGTAAATTAGTTTCTAATTACATTTACGAATATTACATGGGAAGATATAAAAAACTTTTTTTTTTTTTACTTAGTTAAGTGTATCTGTTACACCAGTTAGAATTTTAGCAATATTGGGAACATGTATAAAAACTTAGATTTTATATTTATGCAACTTTGTCATCCACTACACTGAAACTTTTTAAAAATAAAACTCTTCATCATTTTAAGAAACATTATACAGTTCAAAGTCTGTAATCCGTACGTCCATTATCTGGAATGATCTATTATCAGGACCTCAAAGCCACAAACTTTTTTTTGTTTTTGTATGCTTTACGAATGCGCGTTTAATGCTACTCATGCGCATTTAATGTTTACGCATGTGCGTTTAGCAGAATAAACAAAGCAACTTAAACAACTTACATTGAAAGAAATGTTTAATAAAGTAAACAAATAAATATTTTGCTCTTCATTTCATAAATTACAATTTCATATTTTTAATTGTATAACATCTTACCAGATTTAAATTGATGATCTATAATCCGGAAAAACCCTGAGTTCAGATTACGGACTTTGTACTGTAATTGAAATACATGTCTGGGATAAGCATAAGGAAATACAGTGGTGTGACTACTTTTTTAACACTTTATGTACTGGCAAAGCAAGATTTCTAATTTATAGTTTGTTAACTTCTTATTAATTTATCAATTAAATTTTAATTGATTTGGTATTGAATTGAAGACAGTGATTGAAAATTCTGTATTTTTAGATGGTTGAGACTCATATTTGCCTCATGGTTATTGAAGCAATAATTATGATCACTATTATGTCTTTATGTGTGCGACGCATATATTCGACACCTCAGATTCCTCCTTTGGAGAGAGATACAGTTGTTTCTGCTCCACGCCTCTCCAAAAGAAGAAGCTCTGTAGATTCTTGCACACCACCTATTGCAAGGAAAGTCAAAAAGCGCTCTGCCAGCGAAGAAGCATTAAATGCAGGTATATACAAACACTATGACTTTTTATTTGAAACAATTATTTATGATCTGTTAGGCTATGTTAGAAAATGATTATTTTGTAAATGAAGTGCTGTTTTGGGTAGCTAAAGTGGAAATTTTGATGTATCAGAAATATTTCTTATCATTGATGTAATCCTTGTTTTAAGTTAAAATTTTTTTTATTATTAAATTTAATTTTCGCATAATTTCATTAGAATCTGCTCATTGTGGATATTAAGTGAAAATGTTTTTTTTCTCATACTCTTACATACCTACCCTGTGAAGAATACATTTAATGATTATTAACTACTAATAATATACTTAATAAAATAATCTACTAATATATATATATATATATATATTTAAATCATAGAATATTTGCAGGAAGGGGAAATATCCTTTTTTTTGGATAAGTTGTATAGGAAACATGGAGTTATATATGGAATTGTTTGAATCCTTTAAAAGTTTATTTGGATTGAATAGTAAAAACAAATTTGCCTATAGTAATATATCATCTTTGGTATCAGGATATATAGAATATGTTTATCATCGATTTTCCTTCCTTCATATAAATCATATTAAACAACATTTGCTTTTATTTCATGTTGCGCTTCAGTGTTTTAGCATATGTGTATAGAGACAATTAAGATTATCGAGCAGGATTTGTGTAAAACTAACTTTGCCCGATCTTCCAGTTTTTCATGTGGAATAGATGTGTTAACCACTAGTTAAAACTGGAAAACAATGAAAGCATGCACAAGAGGGAGAATACAATAATTCCTTACACTCTTCTGTACTTTAAGGATGGGTGTGAGGTATAAGCTATACGACCAGATCTAAGTGATGATGATTTATGGTATCCTGCATTTTAGTTCAGGTGTCACTATAGAGGGTATGAGGTTTTTTGAAAAAAATTGTGTGGTAAATTTTGTGAAAGCATTTGTGCCATTATTAAGATTATACAAATCTTCCGTTTGCTGGGTGGATGTACTAACCACTTACATCTCAAGTGCATGTGCCGAGGAGATAAAATGCCATAATTCCTCTATAGTTATAAATGTTTGATGTAATTATAAATGCTGTGTAGTTTTAAGTGCCTGACTGAAGATGAAACATCTTTAGTTACATTGTTTTCTTGTAATCTGAGTACGCTGTAAGATCTCCACAACATTTTATAAAAGGTTTCTGTGCATGTTTTAAAAATAGCTAAATATCTCATATGCTTGAAAAATAGCTACATATTTCGTTTTGTTTGAAAAATAGCTAAATATATCATTTAATAATCTTATTTATGTATTTCTCATAGTAATATTTGAATTGTTAGACTGAGATTTTTTTGATTAAATTTGTATGATAAGTGACAAGTTTTTAATATACTTCTTAATGGCAATGTGTTCATGAATATTTTTTTACCTGTTTGTGTTTCGTGTGTGGGTGAATTTTCTGTGGTTATTGCATACAGTTTTCTGTATTAAAGACATATTTTATATCTTTAGTGTAATATTTTGTATGGCTTTGTCTTAATAGTTGTATTAATTTGTATGTAAAAATATTTAATATTATGTGTATTAACTCAGGAGGGAGAAAATGTAAAATTGTTTCATGTTTCAGTAAATTCACAAAGTGCATTTCCTAAAAAAGTGTCCAAAGTTCAAAAATGTAAATCGGATACTTGAATGTAGAAATTTGAATTTCTGATTGTATGATTCTGTATGTAAATTTCGGATGTGGACTTTTTCACTATAAATAAGTTTGAATCTTTTTTATTTTGTATATTTATCTGTATATATGTATACTAGAAAGCCCACCGGTCATACAAAATGACCTCTGTTCTAGATATTATAAATTGTAATTAAAATGATTTGTGCAAAAGTGTCTGCTAATTCAAACTGAACTACCCAGGGCAGGCAGCGAAGACGCCCCTTTGCTTACTGCCCCACGGAGGTTCCCCCTTCTACTTGCTTAATTGCTTAAAGTAGAGGGCAATGAAGGAAACCACTGGCGACATATTTCTTAAAAGCCACCACTAAATAAATAAAGGTGATTTAAATAATAAAATGTTATTTCGCATGTCAAAGGTCCGTTTGTACACAACATTTCTTGTGTAGGTCTTTCCATCATTTTTAAGCTTGCCATGCAGAGGACCATCAATTATTTTTAATTTTACGTCCCTTCTTTCACAAACTCTTGAACAGGCAACATAAAGTTGACCGTGCCCAAATGCAGGCTCAGGTAAAAAAAATGCCAACATGTTTAAGGGTTTGGCCCTGAGACTTAATTGATAGTCATATCAAAGGCAAATTTTGCAGGAAATTGTCTACATCTCAATTGAAACGGCAACCCTGTGCCGTGTCAACTTCACCCCATTGGCTAGTACAGTTACACAAGCAACAAATAAACTATCAGCGACAAACAGACATTTCAGCCGCATATATATATATATATGGGGTGAAGTAACATCATCTCCTCCGAAACGGCTGGCTCCCGGGCTTAGCGAAGCACATTGTTGGATTCCGCAAGTCCGTGACACGCCATTTTGACCATTTGCGTCTTCGTGGGGCTTTAACTAGCTGAGATATTAATTAAAAACTAATTTTCCCCTACCTTTTCCTACATGGTCCACTTTATTTCTTGGGTTTTCCCTACTAGAGGGATTTGGCTATGTGCCAAATTCTTTTTTCTCGAATATCTACGGAACGGCGCTGAGTTGAAATTCGAGACGCGTATCGGATTCCAAAAAATTCTCCGAATTCATCGATACCATTCTCATCTTTGTACGACTTTAATCTGCTGAGATATTAACCCGCGCTCGAGTTTTCGAGTGGCGCAACAATAAGCTATCGGCGACACACACTTAAGTCGCTTATATATATAAAGATATTTATGATGTAATATGCATGTTTGTAAATGGAAGACTGTCAAAGATGTAGAGCTTTGTAAAATACAGTTGTGTTTTCTAAACATCTTTGTTGAAAAGTATTTATTTCCAAAATTCTGGAGGAAATCAGCTTAACTCAATGTTTCCTGAATTGTCAACTCTTATCTTATATTTAAACAGGACAATGAGCATGCAGAGAAAGGCATGGAAACCTATTGGCAGGGATTCCACTAGGTACTGGTTTGTTTCCAGGGAAATCTTATGCCATCAATCCTGCATGATTGCTTGTAATGAGTTTATTAAGTTGGTACATGATGCTAAGATTCCATTTTATAACATTCTATAGGTCTGTAAGATTAAAACTGAAGAAGTTGGGGTTCAGTCTATGTGGAGTACCTCTGTCGAATAATCTCCAGTCACACATTTTTTTTCTTGATGTCATACTACAGTCATATTTTTACATATGCAAAGTTCTTAGAGAGAAGCATATTGCATTTTAAAAGAAATGTAATCCCCCATCACTTGTAAGCCATGTCACAGCAATTCATAAAATGCAGCCCACGCTAGCAGGAAATCCCTCTGCACTGTATAGCTCTCACCAGCTCGTATAGTACCCACCCTGCATGAAAACATACTTACAAGATGAATACTGTTCAGCATTGTATTGCAAAAATTTTGATTCTTTTGACCAAAATGCCCAATTCCAAACTTTGGCTGTTTGGTCATTTATGCATTTTGGCTGCAGTAAAACAAAGTTGTGGGTGATGCTCCATTAAAAAGGGTAGAATCTCATGCATATGATTTTGTAGTGCATAGTCATGTGGGATATGTATTTTGCACATCTACAATTACATATGACTTGCAGTTTTCAGATGCTGATGTTGCATTCTGTTTTTGAAAACTTTTTTATTCAATGCTTATTTTGCTGTTTAAACCTTTTGTACACCTTTCAGTTATGCTATTATTGGCCTTTAGCTCTCTTTGTAGATGTTCACTAAACTAGAGCAGGCATATTTAACCAATTTCTCTGGTTGAATTATTGAAATCTTTGATGCTGGACATTCACAGTTATTTTTTTGCAGGGGCATTAAATCATTACCACTTCTGTCTTGGGCTTGTAAGACTGAAAGAGAGCCACTGTATTATTCCAAAACCTTGGTTGCTGTTGTTGCAATCATATGATAATTTTCAGCTGCTGGAGCTTTCTGAGGAATAATTAACAATTTATTTAACAATAAGTATACCATTTTATGCACTTTTATATGTGTGTGTGTGCAGGGGAGGAAAGCTCTTTTTGTCTTTTTTTCATCAATGAAATCAGGTTTGTACTTCTTTATTGTTGAAAATAAGGAATATTGATTTTAAACAGGCAAACATTTATTTACATTTAATATTGATAATAAAGGAAATGCATTTTAAGTAATGATAAAAAGTTTTCAATGGCTGGTTTTAAGAAATGTTTTAAATTTTCATTTTCAGTCTCCCCTTTTTATTAAAACTTCTGACGCTTTAAATTGGAAAATAATTGTGTAGCGAATCATTAAATATTTTTATCCTAATAATTATTCAAATTGTTCTATTTTGGCTCCCTGGTATGTAAAAAAAAGGACAGAGAATACACACAGTAATTTAAAATATCTTAATTTGTGCATTTTACGACATTTTAATGTTGTCTATCACTTTCCTTTTGTAAAGCACAAACTTGTTCAATATTGTTAGTATTCAATATCATTCACTACTTATTCAGTACTGGTAAAAGTGAATTGATATAGTATATTCATTATTTATTGAATTTGTTTTTTGCATAGATTTTCAAAACATTAATTTTTAGTACATTTTAGAAAAGCTTAGTAGCTAAACTGGGTAAATATTTTCTCTATTTTACTTTGTTTTTTTGGGCATAACTTAAACTGTTTTATTATTTAAGATCCTTACCATAAATGTGTTACGTTAACAAATTGTATATTGAAAAAGAAAATGACGGTATTTAATTGTGTTTAATAGTTATTTAAAATTATGTAAAAATAACTAAAACTGTAATATTAATTCTTAACATTTCATGCTGTCATTTTGAAAGTTAAGAAAAACAGGGAGCCATTTCATTTTGGGTAAGGTACACATTAATTACATTTTTCAATTTGGAATATGGTTTTGTTGCCTCAGATATTTTAAAGTGCTTTTCATTTGAAAAAAAAAAGTAATTTTCTATCCGTAGAAAAGAGAGTTAAAAGTAAAGTATTACAAAATGAGAAAGGGGAAAAAAAAAAAGAAAGATATTATTTATAATACCTTAAACATAATTTAGTTTAAAATAATTTAATACATTAAATAATTCAACCATTTTGCTATTTTCAATAAAATTTATCATTTGAATTGCATTGTTTTCAGGCGAAAATTTGTTGATCGTCGAACCGCTACCAGTATTTCTAGATCCAACTTTAAAGGTAAGCTTTCAACTAAACTATTAGTAAACTAGTGAATGAAGACTGCGTCTGACTCATTTTTTTGTTGCCTTTTGTATTGTGTTATGTGGTTATCAGAATTTTGTGATAATTGTATGTTACTTAATAATTGTATTTCAAAAATCTTAAATTGTAATTTGATATTTTAATTTATTGTGATCTAAAAAAATAATCTGAAATACTGTTCTGCTTACAATAGCTAAGAAACAGAAATTTTGTGGCATAAGTAATGGCGGATATTATTCCAGAAAATGACACACAAAATTAACTTCTAGGGAATTATATCTTTATTAAACTGAAATGGAACTCATTTCAAATGGGTCTGGTATATTTCCCCGACAGCTGGGTTACCAGACGGGTATATATATATTGAGTAACCATTCCCTCTTCTTTTTTTAGGGACTTGGGATCTTCCAGAATTTTAGTTCATTCTGAATAGCATTAAAATTTTCTTTTTTTATGTGTGTGTATATTAGATATCTTCTGCAAATGTTTCATCATGTTTAATGGTCTATAATGCAATGTTGTGTGCAGTACCATGAAAGAAATCTATATATTTGCTTTGTTCTATTGTTGAAGATAACTTATTTCTTGCAAGTTCTGAAAAGAGCTCTCCTGTAAAGGATATTCTCTTTCCTACAATGCACTTGTAACTGTTCTTTTCTAAGCTTGTCAATTATTGTGTAAACACCACATGAGTTTTTTCAACAAGTTTTTAAAATATCTGTTCCATGCTTCAACTCGATTTTGTGTTGTTGCAATTCTAACATTTATTCAATCGAATATGGATCAGAAGTGTGGCAGAAGTTAAGGGAGGACCTTTAAGTCCTCCTTCTATTTCTCATATTTTGCTTGATTTTACTATGTACATAATTATCTCTGAACCACTGTAATTACTTCAATGGGAGTACAAGATTATTTATTTAATCAAATGAATGTCACCAGAGAGAAGAAGGGGGGAAAAAAAAGCAAAATCTGGAATGCATTGAAGTTTCAAACTAAGACTTTCATGTTCTTTGCCATACATTTTAGCAAGCCCAGTTACCTGAATATGGTGCCATGTATTTTGCCCAAAATGAAAGAAACATCCTTTACTACTGGTATCTGGGAATGAATAAAAGAATTAATTGTTGCTATTTCAAAACCACTGATCATGAAATGAGGTTTTAATTCAAAGTAATGTTCAGCAGTGTCATTCAAATATTGAAATAAATTAATATAACACTTCTTCAGTTTGCTGGTCGTTAAAGTGTAAACGAGGAAAGAATTTGCATTTTTATCACCTCAGGGACATGGATGGTATACAGTTGATAGAAAAATTTTGGGACAGTTTTAAATATGTCCCATCCATAATCCAATAAAGGGCTGCTTTCGACAGTGCAACGTTTTTGATTGGGAATTGTGAACAAGAATATGTGTTCATTATTGAAAGGATGAATAATTTAATGGAATTTTTCATCACCATTAGTCCCAAGCACTAATGAAATATTAATGTGATTCTGTTAGTGATATCAATTTTAGTTGGCTGTGGAGGTAAAATTTCTTTATAAGCTCTTTGTACTTGGCATAAGCATGGCGACTAGGTACAGCAGGATAACTTTGCTCTGAAACAGTACATTTTCTCATGAATAATTTCCATTGTTGTGTTGCAAGTTTGGTAAAAAATGATATTGCTGTAAGTAGATATTATCAAACAAAATTTAATATTATTTACTGATACAGCAACATCTTTGTTTTTAGCATCAGGTCCATGATTATGTTCCCTATGGTTCCGAAGGTCGATGTTGTCCGCTTACAAGTACAATGCTTGTATAGCCTCCTGAATTCTGAGTTTTGCACTTTTCACATCACCAATAAAATAAGGTCTGCTCTGTTATCATCTTTGTACATCTAATAACCATCAACATCTAAAAGTACAACTTGGATCATTTTCAAAAAGTAATATACTAGTGTGCAAAACTAAGCCGTTTCTCTAATTTTTACTACAATTCTGCAAAAAATCAATTGAGAGACATGAAATTCATACTAAAGAGACATAGTTTAGTATTTAGGCTGAAGAAATTATAACAACAATAATAAAGAAGAATAGAATGCATGCTGTACTGGTTAAATAGGAAAAGGCTTAATTACCAGAATGGCATTAATGCGGAAAACTGTCTGGCCTAGGGAGAACAAACCAAAGAGCCTTAATAAGGGGTATAATCTTCCTTAACTGCAATGGTTGCATTGCATCATCTGTAAGTATTGGATACTAGAATACCAAACAATTAAGAAAAAGTTAAGTAACGCACTCATTAAAAAATGGGTAAGAGTTCCCACTTTAAGAAACATCTATTTCAGGTGTCTGGTGCCCTCTGGAGAATAAGATCCATGCATTAGGCATTTTGGAAAGTATCCCACACACATGTTGATTGGGATTTAAATTAGGGAAGCACACTGGCCAATTCATTTTGTTGATATCTGAACTTTCTTGGAGCTTCTCAATAGCATGAGTCCTGTATCAATCATGAGTAAGTGAACCTCTTTTGAAAATGTGGAGCTGCATCCGTCACAAGTATGCGAGGACCATCTCAGCAATGTCTTTCCATGGTGGGAGTGGGATGAAAGCATTTCCCTCCCTCTTTCCATATCCATTGGTGCTCATTTGTCAGACTGAAACAACTCTCATTAGTAAAGAGGACATGACTCCATTGATAAATATTTTTCAGTCTTTGTATTCTCTTCACCACTGTCAAGGGTGTTGCTGTCAGTGGTATGCAGCACTCAGGATGATAGACTACCTTTATGAAGCCGTCTGGCCACAGTAAACCAGGAGACCTGTCACATGTTTGGCTGTGTGCACCTGCTGTCTGGTTTTGATCTGTTTTTGGCTGTAGGGTGATGTTTTAGCCATCAGTCATTGTTGTTCTTGGCTGACTGCTACCAACCTTTCTTACAGCTATACCTGTCATTTGGAAGACTTTCCAAGCTCGTGAAACCCGTCTTTCAGTTCCAAACTCTTGGACAACAGCTGTCAAACTACACCCCTCCTCAAGCTTTCCAACCATGTATAAAGTCATATTGATGTTTTTTTGGTAGCCGTACTGAATGTACATACACTCTTTCCACTTTCATAAGAATGCCTGAAAATAAGCTTTTTTTTTAAGTTGTCTTGCACTGTGCATGGTAATGTCATGATGCTGATATTTGCATATGCATCACCTTTCTAATGAGTTGGCTTTTCGTTTTACTGATCACAAGAAGTAGTTTGCTCATATGTTGAAAGATTAATTTATTGCTTAAGTTTTGCACACTAGTGTATATATGGTAATCTCCAATACTTCTATCTAACAAATGGCAAATAATAGGCTAGATGAATGAGATATGGCATTGAGGTTTGTCCCTGTATTTCTCTTTCATATTTAAGCCAATAAGATGAAGTTTTATTTTCTATGTTGGTTCTTTGGGTTCTGTACAATTAACATGGGAGACAAAGTTAACCCACCTTGGGAATTCATCTAAAAGCATTACTGTTGACTGCCCACAATAATCTCAGTGATGCTATTTTCCATGCCATTGGATTCTGATTTGACAATGCTGCAATGGTAGCAGAATACATCTTAAAGGCTTCTATGCATATAACTCAACTGCATTAGTTTGAGCAGACATAAGAGAACCTTTCCAAGGTCTGCAGCAGCAATTATTGCAGTGTTTCTGTTCACTGAAATAGTATAAATACCACTATTGTATGTTGTTCATATGGATTCAACAATTTTTTTGTTTTAAATCAAAAAATAACATTATTTTAAGTTTCAGTAAACTTAGCCTCCACCATTAGGTATTTAATCTTTATCCATGATTGTATTCATGTCTTATGCATGTCATTTAAATTATGTGATTGCAACTATTATTTGCTGTAGATGGTATTATTAATTAGGAATATATGATTTATAATTTCCAAAAACATAAATAAGAATTTTACAACATTGCAGCTTATTCTGTATAACAGCAGCTCATAACTCAATGCGAACTACATTTCGAGGACAAAAATAATTTTTTCCTTTAGCAGTAGTGTATGCTTTTACTTTAATCTATTTCATAGGTTTTGATGAATTACATCTTAAAATAATTTAAAATGAATCTTATATCTTGGATTATTTATGCAGTTTTAGTTTGTTTTACTTAATTATAATTGCATTTTGTGCATAAACTTTATGTTTGATACTTTTATTGAACAGGTAAAAAAGAGAAATAGGAAACGTAACAAGGCTATTCAGCGTAGCATCTCTCACCCTACTGTTGAGCAGAAAAACTCGTGTTCCTCTAGTCAGTGTAACAAAGAAAAAGATTCTCATTCTGAAGCATGCATTCTGTCACACATGAAATCAAAACATGTGTCAAACAAAGCCAAATATGTGTGTGAGAACTGTAATTATAACAGCTGTATAGTAATGTCATCTGAAAGAGAGAGAAGGTTGGACAGCTTACCTCTTAAAAATCTCACCAATGGTACTATCTTTGATTCTAATATTTTACAAAACAAAGACAATTTGGTGAAAGGAAGAGAAAAGTTTAGTTTTAGAAAGTTCCTCAAACTTCAGAAAAGAGACTCAATCTAGTCTTATTTCTATTTTCTTGTCTTTTATGTTTTAAAATACGTACCTTTTTTCTTTGTTTCAAGATAGCCAGTTTTTTTAGCATGTATTATATTAAATTTTCTTAAGATGCGATTTATGTTTAAATAAGATTATTCCTAAAATGTACTTGCATTTCAAACATTTTTTACATACTTTGGCATTTTTATTAAATAAATCCTAAACTGCTTTGTGATATAGTGTATTATAATTTCTTAAGAATTCAAGTAGTAAATTTAATTTATTGGTATATTTCTCGAAATGCAATATTAAGCAATGGAGGCAAACTCCCTTGAAACTTAGGGACCAAGAAGATAGCATGCAACAGGTATTTATTGTAAAAATAATTTTAAATAATTCATTATGGATCATTTAAAAATTTAATTATTTTTAATGCCTGGCTATCTTGTTACTCACTCCATTTCTCTTTTGAACTTAATTACTTTTCTTTTAAATGTTTTACTTTATAAATTTTAAATAAGGGACAGTCTACAAGGATTCCAAAAATAAAACATTCTACAACATATTTAATGTGTGTGTTTCTAATTTTATTTCAACATCTTTTCACAACATTTAAAAAAAATATATATATATAATATAGGTTTACGAACATAATCCTAATTTTTTGTATGTTTATGAGAAATTAATGAAAATATATAAACCATATAAAATATACAAGGAAGAAGACTGCATTTTAGGTTGTCAGCTGTCAAAATTTACTGATTATACCAATGGGAGAAATTTTCGCACCTAGCCCTAGTCAAGGCATACAAGTGTTATAGGCCACCTAGACGGCATAGTGGTTAACACTGACTTTCATACTTTTAATATACAACTATAAGATAATAGAATATGCTCACCAAAGAGGTTGTCCACAAGGTTCCTGCCTTAGTGCTGACCTTTGGACCTTACTTTTAACTCAATAACATCTTTCAAAGGTCAAACCAGACACAAAGTGTTGCTTTTGATGACCACGCAGCTTTTGTGATCATGTAGAACAAGAATATTCTGGAAAATAATGTAAATCAAACTCATCTTTTTAAAAACTGAAGGCAACAAATTGAAACTGACAGTAAATGAAAAAATCAAAAGCTATAATTTTCAGAAAAAATTCAAAAAATCACTCGACTGCCAAAAATTTCAATAGAAAATAGAAGAAAAATGTTCCAAAACTTAATTTCTAGACATAATCATTGACGAAAACCTCAACTGGATAAAACATCTCAAATATATCAGAATAAACACAAAAAATAGCAAACAACTTACGTTATGTCCAAGAACTAAATGGGACTAAATCCTCATATTCAAAAAATATTGTTCAATACAGTAATAACAAAAATAGTTTTATGGTGCAGAAATTTGGGCGCAGCCTATGACTGTTCGAAACAAAAAACAACGCAAGCCATACAAAACGTCAATTCCTTCTCCGGATCACAAAATGTTATAAAACAACATCAAATGCTGCCTTGTGTACTTTCAGGAATAGCACCTCTTCATACTTTAGCACAAACTGAACATGCAAAAGCCACAGTTCTCAAATTAAAAAAATCCTGCATATTACATGACATACTTAATCCAAACAATTCTGAAATTTCAGTCAACTCCTACAGAGACATCCTGTTTGTAATCCTAAAATATATAGCACAATAAAACCTCCAACTAGTCATATATCTCCACCACTAATATATACAGATGTATCGAAAATGGACTTAGGAGTTGGCTGTGTATGTATAATACAAATAGATCAAACCCAGAAAATAACTCTCCAAAATCGACTCGCCAAGGAAAATAGTATCTTCCAATTATTAATTACATGTAAAGAATTACACGCAAGTCGATGGCAATAGAATACAATCGATAATTTACAAAAACTCAATATTTCTCAGATAGTCAACCAGCAATACTACTCTACAAATCCCAAACACACATCTGAAATAATTTAATATTTTTAACGAAATTATCCATATCCTCAATATCACCAAAATTTATTGGATAAAGGCTCACGCGGAGTTCTTGGTACGAAGAAGCCGATCAGCAGCCAAATCAGCTACTACCAACAATAATATCCCTTCAAGAAAAATCTCCTGGTCGAAATCATACCTCAAGAAATATCTTCATAAAATCAGCTTCCAAATGTGGGAAGAAGAATGGACAATAAATACAGGAAGACAATTACATCAAATAGCACCTCATGTAAATAATACATGTACAATGGTCAATGGTTATGTAAACCACTTTTTAACTGGACATGGGCCATTTCCCGCATACTTTTTCAGAATAAACATCTCAAACTCTGAGCAATGTGTATGTGGAAATAAAAGTGATCCAATCCATTATATTACTCAATGTCCTTTAACAAACTCATATTAATTTGCCTAATTCAAATATCAATGCCTTCCTTCGTTTTGCAATTACCAACAAAAATAAAATAGAAAATACAATCAAATATCTATCTTTAATAGGCAAAAATTTATGTGAGCACTAATGTAATTAATGTCAAAATTTATTTTTGAAGCTGCAATTCATCTAAAACTTTTATTATCTAATTATCTTAAAAACAAACCCTTGCAATAATAATGATATAGTAAAAAAAGGGAAGAGAAGAGGAAGAAGATATAGATTCATATAATAAACTTTATCTCAAGGAACTATTATGAACTGTTATAAATTATGACTGTTAGCCTACTATTATTATACCTATTATAACTACTATAATTATATCTAATAGATATGACATTAATCAAAATGTCGATATACTATTTATACTGTTATATTATACTATGTACTATTTTGAATATTAACTTTAAACCGAAGTGTAGTGGGACTATACCTACATATAGTAAACATTGGGTGTCCCACTACATTTCAACCTGAACTTGTCTATAGTTACAATGGATTGTTGTCTTACATAAAACATCTGTTACTGTTCTTCAAAATAATCCCCATTGGTAGTAATGCACATCTAGGAACAGCTGTACAAGTCCTAGAAACTCCTTGTGGTGTCATCTTTAGGGAAGTTCTTCAGCTGAGTCATAACACTATGGATGTCTGAAAACCTCTGGCCCTTTAGGGTTGAGTTGAATTTGGGCAACAAGAAATATTATAGAGGAGGTAAGTCTAGAAAGTAAGGTAGGGTAACAAGGACATAATGCTCCTGTTGGCCAGAAACTAATGTACCAGAAGAGCCGGGTGTGGTCTGGCATTACCGTGGAGCAGGGTCCAATTGCCTTGCTTGGCATACTGGCGGCATACCCACTTGATCACTTCAGCAGACATTTCAGTATTTCCATCTATGTAGTGACATTTAATATGGTCCCCTCAGGGAGGAATTCTTTATGCATGAGACTTTCAGAGTCAAACACCACAAGCATTGTCTTGAATCAGGATTTCTCACTTCCCACCAAACCTGGACCCTGCCACGCCATACTCTGATACTTGCCTTCTGAGCCGTGCCTCAGGCACCAGATCTCATCATCCCTGAAGATGGTTTTCAGGAAATTTGGGTTTTAATCCGTCATGTCGATGAAGTCTTCACAGGCATCAAGCCAAAGTTGCATTTTTTCCAATGTCAAAGTGTGGGGCTTGAGTCGGTCGCAAAACTTGCATGTACCCAAATTGTGGGTTATCTCATGACCAATTACCACATTTTCTGCTATCATTTGCACTTCACAAGACACTCGTGAGCCAGAAGTTCTTTCACTTTCATTTAAACAACTCATACATATATTTCAGGGTTACAGCACATTCTTTGTAAACTGTTATCAGCATTTCATGAATCTCTTTCACTGATTTTCCAAGTTAGAAACAGAACAACTTATTCGTTCGCTAATCTATTTTGAGTTTCGACCGCATGCACAATATCTTCACACTACAATGAGCTATTTCCACATGATAAACACACTTACAGCGCCACAGCTTGGGAACTGGTTCAGACCAGTCTCGACATGTCTGGTATGGGATTTGCTGGTTGCACACTCTTACAACCATGAGTATTTTGATGTCATTCACTGAACTTTCTGGACAACGGTTATTTGAAAATATAGTAAAAAAAAATTTAAGGCTTAACTTTTTTAATAACTCAGAAATTTAGATTTTTTAATTAAATGTAAAATATTTTATGATTTGGTTATATTTAATACTGTTATTACAATTTAAACTGTTTTTATCAAGTTCTCTCAAATTTAATGCATCCATAGATGACATATTATTTGTATAATAGTTAAAGATGAGAAAGTGTCTGCTTTCAGTACAGAAATTTATTAATATAAATTAAAAATGTACCACTCTCGAATAATTTGGTAAGCATAATTTTAGCTTATAAGAAGAATATTCTACTGCCATAAAATAGTGATGTTTCAGATGCAGTTAACCTTTTTTAATACAATTCACTTAAAACAGGATTACATAGTTGTGGAATGGCTCAAAAATAAAATGACAAGTTAAAAAAGTGCATTTATTAGTTTCCATGAAGTATACATTTCTGTACATGAACATTCTTATTCCTTTTTAATTACACTTAAAATATAAAAAAATTGAGAAAAATAAATCAAGGAATATTTCATCAGTCTGAGTGTCTTATGCTTAAATAATAGAAATGTTTAGTAATTAAAATAATTTTAAAACATAGAATTTTCAGAAAGTACTTTTGTAACTAATGTATTTCAATCTCATCTTTCACATTTTATATTAAGCTAGATATTAGAAGGTTATTTATATCATATATAATATATAGTAATAATAGTATTGAATGAAAATCATATAAGCTAAATAAAGGCTTATTGATATTTAGAAAGGAAAAATATTTCATGTTTCTATTAAAATATAGAAGTATACAAGCAGTTTTTAAACACATCAGTTTTAGAATAATTTGTATAATTTGTAGTTTTAGAATAATTTGTAGTTTAGTGATATAGAAGGGAAAAAAAAAAAAAAAAAAAACTGTTATTCTAATTTATAAGCTTTGTTCAAAAATTTTGCATAGATTTTTATTTATTGAAAAAGGTTTTAAGTTGGAAACTATATGGAAGGCATTATGATCTTTCAGTTCTTTTTTAATTCAAGTTCTTTTACATTGTTAATTAACTTACAAGTATAATGCATTCAAGGGTGTTTATTTATTACTTATACATGGCAGAGAGGCATGCCAAATGGAATAATACATTTTGCTCTTCGAGAAGAGAAATTATCATTAGTCTGTAAAAAAAACTATAAATTTTCAGACAATCTGAAATTGTATTTTGCTTAATTTTAGATTAATATTTGTATTTCAATATCATACAAAAATTATGAATATTGTAAGGATTTATTTATTCTAATTCTTTCTTAATTTTTATATCAAATTAATTGGACAAAGCTTAAATTTATGCTGTAGGTAAAATAAACTATAAGGCATTAAAATATTCTACATAAATTAATTGCCAGATACCTGTCACTTAAGCAAACATCAAAACTGAGCATACAGATTTTCAGAAATTGTTGATTTTGATCATGCAGGGCAGTAAATGATTTTTTTATTAGAGAACCACACATTAGGTAAAATTACCAATTTTTAGATATATAAAAAATTTGGGAATACGAATAATTATCAAGTAAGAATATTTTATATATATAAACAATGTTTCCTGTTGCTACATAAAAATATTCTCCAGTAATTGCATATTTTCAAAATACATTTTTTCCTTTAACACAATATTACAAAGGAAGTAAATACTGTTAGGAAATATTATACTATGCTTATGTTATATAATATAAGCCTCACATATTAGTTTTAAAATAATTTCATAAATTGCTTTGTATCAACAAGAATTTCATTATACTTAAAATGTAACTCTTGCTGAGTTTTTTTAACAATATTAAATCCAGAAGTTAATAAAATATATGCAATTAACACCTGTACACTTAAGTTCAAGCTCATTATTGCTTCAGAAATTTACCATTTTATACTTATTTCTATTAGGCTAATTAAATGTTCATAAAAGATTCTGTACTTCAAACAAAAGGGAAGAAAATTCCCTTTATACAATTCGCAGACCATGTTATTGTGTTATACATCTTAAAACATGCAACAATACTTGATTATCAAATTAATATGAGCAAAAGGTATACAGGAAATGCATTAAAATGCTTTATAATCAACTGCATAGATTTTAAATTACTTTTAAATGTAAACTTTATAATTATAACATGGAATATAACTATATATGTAATTTAATATGCTATATAATAACTTTTTATGTCATCGCAAAATATATTTTTCAAATAAATAGCTATATCTCATAATGAAATTGAGTGGCACTTAAAATATATCTCGGGCTTTTGAAACTTATTATTAGACACATGTTTGCATTAAGGCCACTATAAATACAAAGACATCAGCTTTGACAAATGCTCTTGATGACAATGAAATAGACAGTCTTGAGAATATCACAAAGATTTATTACACCTAAAAAAAGAAAAACAACATTACTGACATTTTTATAAAATAAATATTACCATAATAAATACTTTTGCCCTAAATGCCATTTCTGATGATATACATTTCACCCTATATATAATTAAAGAATGAACAGCTTTCAAGGTAATACAGAAAACTGAGTTTTATAAGGTATTTTAGAAGAAATTTTATCCTTGTTAATATGTAAATGTGAAAATATTACCTTATAATCTCATTTAATACAAATAAGATATAATTCAAAGTGCTATATTATAAAGCATAATAAAACATAGAAGAATAATATATAGTGCTGAAGACAACACTAGCTATCATTTAACTTTTTTCCCCACAATCTTTCAGAAACTATATGCTACAAACAACTTTGAAAAGCTCTTTGTATTAATAAATTACTTTAATTTTGATAACACAGTGAAACATATCCCATTAGTGATGCTGGGGATTAAGTACAAAAAGGAGACAAAGGGAATCATGTGTAAATGTGGTGTTTTGTATTATGGGTTTGCATATTAAATAAGTTAATATTTTTAATGACTTAAATTCATTCTGTTATTAATACCTGAAATATATTACAATTTTCAGTAAACAGTATAAAACGGTACTTGATTAAATAATCCTTTTTTTCTAACTTTTAAAACTAAAATATATTATTCTAGAAACAGTTTCGTAGCTTCAGTTTTATTCTGCAGAGATTCTGGAAAAGAACTGAATGTAAATTAGGAACATTTATGTAATTGGACATTGCAGTACTAGCAATCTTCAAAAAAAAATTTAATTACTTTTAAATTGTATCAAGCATATTCTAATTTGCTGACAATTTCCTCCCTAAATAGTACATTATGATGCAGATTTTTAACAGTTATGTAGAATTAAAATTTCAATATGCCTGTAGAGCTTAATTTTAACAGTTCCACCAATTTTTAGTATAAGCATTTTTTTCTATAGTATTAAGCATTTATTATTTAATTATTCCTTGTATGAAAAAAAGGTTCAAAGCTGTAGCTATTTGTAGCAATATATACCAAAACAAATCCAAAATTATACGGAAATTTAACAGTTGGGGGGGGGGAAAAGACTGAGAGGAATCTAAAATTGTCTATGAAATAATCAAATAGTTGCCATAATTTTATAATACATATAAAGATATAATAGAAATAATTATTGTAAGGATTTCCTAAAGACACATAATTTTGTAATGTAATTGAAAATTCAAACAAAATTTTTGTAAAAAGGAAAGTTACATATTATAATATAAAGCATGCCATTTTCTGTAACAGAAGTTTACACATTTCCCCCTGTGTATCACTGATTAGTCTCATTTCGGAACAACTACAATATGAAATTTTCCCTCAGTGAGAAAAAAAGCATCTAGAAGTCTAGTCACTAATCCCCTACATTTCCCGTCCTTTTGTGACATTCACCCCTCTGAGAATCCATTAAATTACATAAAAAGATCTTTGTTGCAAACAGGAGGTATTTTTTAGAGGGATGAATGCATTCGGTTCGTGATATCCCTTCATGTCAAGGTTTTTACAGCTGCCAAAGCCCTGACCTCAAAATGTTAAATGAAACTTCTAGTACCAGTGAATACGAAAATGAATAAAAAATGATGTAACTATTTAGTTCTTTGTTCCTATTCATACTTCTGTATTAACTTCATAATTCTAAACATGAAAGGTGTGATGTTACTGAAATGTTGAGAAACTCATAGAAATTTACTATTTCCTTTCTTTTTTAAGCTTTTAATGCACTCAGCCGAGTTAACTTGGGTACACAGAACTAAATTATTCCACACACCCAAGTAAATGCAGTCGAGAATTTTTTTTAGTTATCGCTAGAACAGAATATATCTGCTACACTTTTGAGTTACGATAAAAACAGAGGTTAAAAGAAGTTGAATTAAAACAAAAAAATTGACAAACCTTCTGAATTTTTATTGGTGCATTAAGGGGTTAAATAACAAGGAAACAAAATATTCAGCTTAAGTTTTTCTTATAACTGCATAATATAACTTTTACCTACACTCTGCAAAAATGCAAGTGTAATTATAACTTATCATTTATAGGATTATATTGTTTGATAATATAAAATGCCAAAATTTTTGCCTTTTATATTTGGATTTTGCAACACATTTAAAGATGCTTTCTCTTTTATATTCTGTTCCACTAATCAAAATAAAAGAATTTAGATTATCATGATTATATAGAAATATAATAAAACAGACTTAGATGTAATATTGTAGGAACTGAAGATGTTGATTCATATAGTCATTTTTATTTTGAAAAACATCTGGTGGCCCAAAATAACTTGGTACTCTAATTTCTGCCTACTTCAGAAACATTTACAATTTTGACAGCTTTGCATTAAGAAGAGAAATTGCAAGTAGCAGTCTATCTAGTCCGAAGTGCAGAAAGTGACTTATGTTCAGGATGAAATCTTAATTCAGAACGAGTAGTTTAGAGTAGTTTCAGTTTTCAATGCATTTGAATGGATAATTGATTAAGAATGATGTAAAATTATTATTTGCTGCTTGAGTTTTAGTTCCATTTACATAACCAGCATTTATGTAACTGTATTATGACATGAATTAGTCTCAAAATGACACGGTGCAGAAAAAGGTATTAATTTTTATAGAATAGAGAGGGGAATACGAAATTAAAATTAAGGGGATTTTGTTAATCTAAATTATAATTTATATTTACATAATGTGTTAATGGAAAATATAAGTATACATTAAAAACTTATATTTAAATTTCACAGTTAAAAAAACCACACCCTTCAGATTACAGCCTAATACTTCAAAAAGGAAAGTTTATTATTAAAAGTTTAAAAGAATTTAATTAAAGCTAAATTGTAACACACACACACACACACACACACACACACACAAAAAAAAAAAAAAAAAAAAAAAAAAAAAAAAAAAACTTTTAACAATTGGCATATAGCAATAGTTCTATATAGTGTTAAAAACATCTTTTATAAACAAAGTTGCTAATATTAATGAATATTCTTTTGAATATATTATAAACTTAATTAACTGTAATTCATATAAATAAAAATACTTGTAAAGTACATAAAATATGTACAGTCAAAAGTCTTTAATCCGGACTCGTCGGGACTTCAGCGATTCCGGATTATAGATCATCAGTTTAAATCTGGTAAGATGGCATGCAGAAATTATAAAATTAAAAATATGAAACCGTAATTTATGAAATAAAGAGCAATTATGATCTAAAGGGTATCAAAATTTACACACACACAAAAAAAAGCTTAATATTTATTTGTTTACTTTATTAAACATTTCTTTCAATGCACGCATGCGTAAAGCATACATTACACATAGTCGAAATTAGAAAATTGCAACCAGAAAACTATTTGATTTGTATTCGTGATATTTATAATGACGAGGAATTTGATTTAAATCATATCAAAGACAGAGTACATCGAGATGAAATACTACATTTAGTAACGAATTATAAGCCGAATAAAATAAAAACATCTGCTCTGAAGATAAGGATAGTGCTGACAGATCAACTTTCAGGTCATTGCGCGCCGCGACGTCCCCCCCAATCGCAGAGAGCAGCGTGAAATTGAAAACAGATTTCGAAATGGTTAGAGAAACAAAGGAGCCTTTATCCATTTTTTGCAGCAATTCCAATTTTTGTTTGATGGACATCAAAACATGCTTTCCCTTTGTAGATCCAGCATCGGAAATTCTATTTGACATAATCGAAAGTTCCTACTTACTTTTATAAAATTGCTCTAACAGTCTTCAAAAAATATTAAGCCGGGTCCAATTCGAAGATTAAGGAACAATGCAATCTGCAACATTAACTGAAATAGATAATTAGATAATTTTAGCTTAGTTTATACCGTCCGTTATACATTAAACGTGCATGCGTAAACGTATTATGCACATGCGTAAAGGTATTACGTGCATGCGTCAACGCTTGCACAAAAAGTTTGTAGCTTTGAGGTCCAGATTAACGACTTTTGACTGTATACATTTTTTCAACACAATTTATATAGTAATCAGTAATTTGAAGATGAAGTAATGGTTAAATAAATATTTACAATCAATAATAAACAATTGCCAAATTTATGCCAATTTAAAAAAAAAAAATTCTGAAGAATTTGACAAAATGCATATTTCCTTGGCACCAGACGTTGTTAATTTGGTCTGGCTTTTTTCCTGCCGATAATTATCTTCATAAGTATCATTTGCACAACCACATTTTTCATTTAATATTTTTTTTTAAATCACAATGGATGTGATTCAAAGCTGAAATAGTAATGCTAGAAGGGTCTGAATGCAAACGTGATTTGCTGGACTTTTTGTTACTCCCATATGATTCATTTTAATGATGTCATGAGTTAATTGTCTTAAGTTTTGTGAACTAAGGTTTGCTCCAAATGAATTACAACAGCTGACTGGAATAATTACACAAGAGAAGTATGTTCCAATTTTTTGCTACCTAATCCTAATATTAAAACTAATAATGCTACAAAATTTGTGGAAACTGATGAAAGAAAAAATTTGCAAAATAATAATAATAATAATAATAATAATAATGTGGGCCCTGTTCTTCCAATACAATGGGCTTTTTCTGTGAAATTAGAGAATATTTCCACATTATTGTTCTGGCTTGCTGTTTCATCTAATAACAAGCCACAGGCATGGGAAAAGAAATAACGTAAAATGCATTGATGTGGTGCCAAAATTGTAAGGTAAGGTTTTTAGCAGAAAACTACCTATTTTTATGGATAACTGAAGATTACCCAAAATGGAAAATTTCCCTTAATTTAATAGTAAATATATTCTGTAACCAAATTAAAACAATAATAATGATATATACTCACTTCGTATACAGCTACAAATTTCTTAATCAAGATAATTTTCTAATTCTTTTGTCAAGGTCTTGAATAACATGAACAGTGTCATCAAGCAAAACATTTAAAATTGAATCAGCAATTTGAAATTTGACAGTGACTTCATCCTGGTCATAACTGATCCAATCTGGTTCTTCTTCTTTTAATTCACTAATTAAAATTGTATCAACAAAATCTCTTTTCTTTCGTCCTAATTTCATTACAGACCAGAGGGATCGCTTTTTCTGAGATTCTGTTGAATTTTTAGATAAAAGTTTTAATTCATATTGAACTTCTTGTAGAAGTATACTGTATAGTTTGTTTCTGTCTTCAGGAAACAAAGGCTTAGGTGTCAACCTTCGAGGTCTAAGCCAAGGTTCAGGTTTTTCAATTGTTTCACTGTAAAATAATGATATTGCATAATAAATAAATGCTTCATGTGAAATTTAGCTTCATTAAACTTCATGATAAACATTATTTTCTCTAACAAATACTTTTAATGAAATAAGTATACTTATAATACAGTATAAAGTCCGTAATCCGGACTCGTTGGGACTTCGTCGATTCTGGATTAGGGTTTTTTCCGGATTATAGATCATCAATTTAAATCTGGTAAGATGGCATGCAGAAATTATACAATGAAAAATATGAAACCATAATTTATGAAATAAAGAGCAATTATGATATAAAGGGTATCAAATTTTACAAAAAAAAAAAGCTTAATATTTATTTGTTTACTTTATTAAACATTTCTTTCAATGCGCGCATGCGTAAAGCAATAAAAAAATGTTTGTGGCTTTGAGGTCCGGATTATAGATCATTCCGGATAATAGATGTCTGAATTACTGACTTTGCACTGTATATTATTACAATTATAAACATAGATACTTAAAACTTAAAAAATGCCAGCATGGAAAACTTTGCTAAATATGAATTTAGAATTTAAAATTTCTTTAAAAATTATTAAAAAATACATTATAAAAAACATGGAAATAATCAACGAGAAAGCTCCTTTGAGGTGGTAGTAAATAACCATGTTCTACTAAAAGTGCTTCAATATTAGCAATTGCTGCAACTGTTACACTTGGGAGTTTGTTAACAACACAGACTTGCACGATAAAGATTACAGTAAAGTAATCTTGATTTCTTTGTTATTCATGTAGAAAAAAATTTCATTTCTGAGAGGTGATCAAGAAATCCACTCAATTTAGATAACGTGTTTAAAAAGTTTAAAGTTGGTCTTCCACATGCCCATATTCGTAGGAGGATTATGTCATTCAAAACTCGACGGCTCTATGTACCATCGCAATGCGAGAAATATACATACATTTATGCAGATTTTTCATTATTTAATTTCTTTAAATATAACACAGGGCGATAATACTTTGTGGCAATAGTTTAAAAAGTGATTCGCCATTTGTAGTGAATCGATGCAAAATCGCAAAACGGAAACAATAGTCCTACAGAGACAATGCCTCTCTGGACTAAAAAAGGGAAACACCTTTTCAGGAAAGTCCAATTTTTGTCAAACTACATATGTTTTAAACAAAGCTATATATACACTTACAAGTATAACTTGCATTTTTCATGTCATCTGCAACTTGCATTTTTTGTTTCATCAATTGAGTGAGTACAACAGGAGATACAACACTGTGCCCCTCTTTTTTTTTTTTTTTTTTGACTAGGTGTACAGATTAGAAACTGCTACACAACATTCTTAACAAGAACAAATATGAATAAAAAATGATACACTTTTCCAGCAATACTTAAACAGAGTCTAAATACTAAAAAAAAAAATAAAAATTTATATTTTTTAAAGCAATATAAAGGCATTTAATTTCATTACATATTTAACATTATGATCTCACCAAAGCTCATTAGACATGCTTTTGAAATAATGCATTTACATAGCATTTACTAAATTTGTACAAATATTTACTCTACAGTCAGTTTCCAAAATCTGTATTCATTAGAATGGTTTCTTAATCATATAAAAAATGAGAAAGCAAAGTAATATAAAATAAAGAGTTAATACAGTAGCAAAGAATCTTGAATCTAAATACTACTTCTGATGTACAAATTAACCACAGCCAATTATGAAACTTCATAGTTAAATAATAACATGAAAATTTTTTAAATGCTTAATAAGTTGGAGATGTACTAAAGAATTCACTATACACTGAAAAAAAAAAAAAAAAAAAAAAAAAAAAAAAAGTACACAATTGCAATTTCCAAGTGTAATTGAAGAAGAATAACTATTAAACATTAACAAATATTATTGAAAAATTTTAAAATTCTTACCTGTATAAATTCAAAGATATTTCTTTACATAAATCAAATATCAGATCAAGAAAACTTAGTTGAGAGGGCATTGTCAGGCCTAACTTCTGAAAAAGTGAGCTAAAATCTGGCGAAGGTATTTCATTTATCATCAGTCCTTTTCTTTTACCACTGAGTAAAACATCAACTATTGAATCAACAACACTTTCAATGTTTTTTGTGACATATTTAACAGTATCAACCTTTTCAACAACTTTTTCTTTAACTACAGTAAGTTGGTAAATATTTGGAGAAGTCTGTTCAACAGTTACAGGTGGTGTATATGGAGGTGGAGGTTTATTAGGGATTTTACGATAATAATATGGGTACTGAAGTAACAGTTGTTGCTGAAGCTGAGCTTCACTTTGTGATGCTATAAAACTATCTTCAAGCCAGTTTGGATGCTTGTTGAAAATGCTATTATCATTAAAATCTTGCACATGCGGAATGACATTATTCTTTAATAAATCTATGGAATTCTCTGCATTTGATGAAAATATGTTAGAGATTGGATTCTTTGAGCATTCAACAAGCTCATGATGGACAGTTTTACTCTTGCTGTTCTTTGATTCTGATTCACTTAATTTTTCATGATGTACAGCATTACAGCCTTTTGTACTAACATGAAGATTTTTATAAAGTTCCATGACCGAATGAATTGCATCTTTCAGATATTCATCTAAGACAGATTTGGAAATTGTTTCAGCACATTTTTCATCAGTCCTTTTTATGACAAAATCAGTAGATGGTTCTAAAATATATTTTTTTGTCAATTCTAAGCTAGCTGCAGTGGTACATTTTGAAATATTGTGATAATTTTTAGATAAACTGGAAAAATTACATCCTACCTTTGATTCTGAGTTCACTGTTTTTGACTTTTTGATGAAATTTTCACTGAATATGTGTTGCATACATCTAAATGCATCATCAAGCAGGGAAGAAAAAACATAATTAACAACATTTACAATAAATGTTTCAGTTTTAGGACTCTTTTTGGTAACCAAAGGTGTGTTTTCATCATTCTGGCTACTACCACTGGTTAAGATTTCTAAGTCTGATGAATGAGAATTACTATTATTAGTAATTGATATTTCATTTATACCCAGAGGAACAGATACATTTAGAGTATCAGCTACATAAGTGACACTGGCCAATTTACTTGGAGATGGGCATCCTTCTGAGTTATCGCACTTGAAACTTTCAGTCAAGTCTCCACTTTCCAATTCTTCTTCAACAGATGCAGAGTTTGACATTGATTGAGAAGTTGAAGATAAATCTCCATCTGTAGTATGAGTAGTATCATCTGTTGCCTTCTTACCACTATTAAGGCTTTGCTCAGAATTATGCCCTGCCTCTGAGATGGATTTTCTCAAAATAACATTACTACTTGGCAGTTGTTCATTACTTGAAAGTTCCAGTGTTTTTGATGATGATTCAGACACAAAAGTGTCTGAATGCAGAGTACTTTTTGATTCAACATCACTCTGACTATTGACTTTCCCTTGAGCAGATTCAGAAGATTCAACACTCTCCAAAGAAACACCAGACAGATCGTGAGCAGCGTCTAGCAATTCAGTTACTTCTTTTGCTTCCACAAGCAATTTATCTGATGAACTATGTACAATTTCTTTTACACTAAAGGATTCTTCATTTGAAGAATGAGTGATGTTTTGTAATATTTCAGATACTTCTTGGATTTCTGAAGATTCATTTGATGTATGTTCATCTCCTTTTGTAGCTTCTGCTATGTCTTTTACCACAGAAGATGATAAATTTGCTGATGTTTCATTCTGAGAATTCAAATCTGATTTTAAATTGTCAGATAGTTCTTTTGAACTTGCTCCTAGAAGAGAAAAGCAATATTTCAAATAATGCATTTTTAAAATTTGCATCTAAATTGACCACCATTTAATATAATGACAGGGAGAAAACTATTTTAAAAAACATAAACTCCCACAAAGCAAATACAATTGCCAATTTTAATTAAATAAAACATATTTTTATAGGGTTCAAAAACTTTTTCCACATAGAAATTAAGTACTTTAAGGACTTTTAAGAAAAATCAATGAAAAAAAAAGTTAAAGAACTGTCAGCAAACGGGAAATGAATAAATTAAAGCAATTATCAGTGCTTGCAATTCACTTTTGTAATACTATTCAAAGAATAAAACAGATGTGTAATAATATACACTGTTAAACATAATCTAATACTTAACATAAATTATAAAAAAAAATCGAGAATAAGCCAACTTCATAAAATTTATAAAGTAATTAGCATTAAATACAAAATTTCTTGAAATATTTATATTTTACATGTATAATTGTACAACAAATTTCAAAGAAGGTTGAGGGCAATGTTTCCAATGCTGATTCTTTCTTTTATACCTCATTTCGTCATGAACTTGCTAAGGCCACAGGTTTATGAAGATTTGATGTCACATGGCATAGATTAAAATAAGAAGTATGAGGGCTGTCAGAAAAGTTTAAGACCTTAACATGTAGATGGCAAAGTGGTGGTGGTGGGAAACTTATTTAGGCATCAATTGATAACAAACAATCAAAATTTCAACTAATTTCAACTATTTTGAATGCAAATTTTTTGTTTGACAATGATTTTTGTAAGTTGATGTGACCATTTTTGGAAAAATGGAAAAAAATCGAATATCATGTCATTATTAGAGACCTGTTTTTGAAAGGTTATACACCTACTAAGATTAAAGAGGAGTTGAGTTGGACACAGAGTACAGGGAACTCTGCTCCATCATTTACTACTGTGAAATTTTGGGCAGCTGAATTTAAATGTGGTTGTACCAGCTTGCATGATGATGAATGTTCAGGAAAGCCAAAAACATTGCTAAAATCCACCAAATGGTGCTGATGACAAATCAAATCAAGGTTGGAGAGATAGCAGAGGCTATTAGCATGTCCAAAAAGCCTGTTTGCCACATACTGAAACAAGATTTAGATATGCACAAGCTGGCTGCATGTTGGGTGCTGTATTTGTTCACTTTTGACTGAAAAATGTGTCCGAATGAATATTTGCACAGTCCTATCGGCAAAATAAATCAAGTGATTAATAGTTTTTTCGACTATTAATCACCGTAGATGAAACCTGGATTTATCATTACAGCCCAGAAACCAAAACATAGTCAAAACAGTGGACTGCAAAGGGAGAATCCGCTCCAAAAATGGGAAAAACTGTTCCTTCTTCTGTTGGGAAAGTGATAGCAACAGTTTTCTGGGACAGCCATTGTCTCAATACATTATTTTGAAAAGGGAAAATCACTATCTGAGCATACTATGCAATGTTACTTGATGAGCTGAATGCAAAAATTGCAGAAAAATGTCCACATTTGCAAAAGAAAAAAAAATTGTTTCACAAAGACAATACTCCATCTCACACCTCAGCAGTTATGATAGCAAAAATCCATGAATTACGATTTCAACTGCTTGAAGATACGTCCTATTCACCAGACCTGGCACCAAGTGACTTTTTTGTTCCCTAAGCTAAAAGAAGCACTTGGAGAACCAAGATTTTCGCCAAATGAGACTTAATGATTCCACAGAATATTTGGGTGGGTCTGGCCTGGGCACTGAAAAGAAGCAAATTTGTGAAGTCATGGTTAAGCAACCTTCAAAAGTTGCAAAATTATACTTTTTGGCAAGAGTGTGTTATATGTGCTTTACAACGGCTTTAAAAGTGTCATTTGCTTAATTTTTCTAAACTATTTTGGTTACTTCAGCCTCTGGTTTGTTAGGCTTTTAGTGCACTGAAAAAAAAAAAAAAAAAAAAAAAAAAAAAAAAAAAAAAAAAAGAAGGAAAATAAATAAATTAATACAGTAAATAAGCATACCTTTATTTTGCAGACTACTCGGAGGACCTTCTGTTGATTCAAAACTGTCACTTGCACTCTCAGAAACCTTTTTCTGTTGAAATAAATAAATAATAAAATATATACAATTATAATTAATAAAAGAATGCATAATACAGAACAAATTTAAATAAATTTGGCACTATATAAAATAAACAGTTTGCATTAAAGGCTAAGTAAGCAGTGATTGGATATCACCAATTTTACTTGAGCTTCAGTTCTTAGGGAAATAAACTGATTAAATACTTTTTTTTTGAGCATTTAGAATAAGGGAGAGTATACAAAAAATTAAGAAATATTTGAAATCTATAACTTTATTATTTAAAAAGAAACAGAGACTGCCGAAACAACAGAAATTCAAATAATAAAATTTGATAAAAATCTGAACCCTAAATACAAGACCCCTCCCCCACCAAAAAAAGATGTGTTTTTTAATTAGACAAGATGACGCAAGAAAATAATGTTTCCTACTTATAATAACAGACAAAAATAAGCTAAACATCTAAAAAGAATAGTTTTCAACAATTCACATTTATTCAAATGGTTATCGAAATCATATTTACAATCAATACAAAACATGCTGAAAATCTTGCTTTTCCTACAAAATATATGCCACAGATGCAAACATTACTAGAAGGAGAGGATAGTTGTAACACTGCTTTAAGCTAGAATACCTTTTTCCAACACAGGAAATATAAAGTGAAGGAAAAATTAAACAATTGTGAAATTTTCAAGGAGGGAAAAAATATAATTCCAGTTGTACATACAACATGCTGAGATATGGAAGACACATGCATATTTCATATTAAAATTAAGTAAAATTCAATTTAATTTTTACAAAATTTTAATGAATAGTTATTACATTGTGTCAACTCGCATAAATATAATTATAACTGCCTCAAATGAACACCATAAGAATCTGAAGACTTATGCAAACAAGAGAATTATTAGAATAAATGACATATGCAACACATCAAAGTGTATAAACTAAAGGTCACATGCCTGAATACTGGTAAAATACATAAAAAGATAACACTTCTTGAACTTAATCATGTCTCTAGAACTGCAGGAAATATTTAGAAAGAAAAAGTCACTGCTTCTGAGGGATAAAATCATCAAATGATTTTTTTTCCATGTGTGTAACAGCTAGTCATTTAGACAGAAATCTGAATACAGTACAGTGCTGTTATCAAAATATGAGAAACACCATAAATGAACACACTGATGACACAGTTTAAAACATACTGTACCACTAAGCATAGCATCAAATGGATGACTCTGCAAGGTCAATTTGTAAATTAGTATCAAATCTGAGACATCATTTGCAATCATTAAATGAAATATATATCAGTAAAAACTATCAAATGGCATTTACATGACATTAAGATTCAATGTTCAATGGCTAATTCATAGACTCCAACCTTCAGCAAACCTTGTCAGTAGTCAACGCGCGAACGACATTTTTACAACTTTGAAAATGTGCGCGTAGCGTATGTTGTAATTAACCATTCATTAATTTTAAATTAATAATTAATTGTAATCAATTTTATTACATTTAAAATCCATATACATATAAAACTGAATAATTAAAAATATACCTTGTAAATTATATGCACATTTAATTAGAAATTTTCTTTTAACTCCTCAAGCATTCACTAATAAAAAGTACTTCAAATCACTACTAATCATAGAAAAAATCAGAAGCTATAAATCATATCTTTATTCTGGATATGATTTCTACAGGGAAATAAAATTTAAATAACCAAGAATGATACATATAAGTATTAAACAAAATATGCATAATTTATGAATGCAAAGATTTATATGTAGCATGCTTAGCAAGCTTAAGTTCTGATTTTGAGAATGTTTTTTTATAACACAGTTCTTCATTTGCCTGCATATTTATTTTTTCAATCAAAACTGCTTCAAGAGTTTTAAGACCTAAATTTGGTCGAAATTCCGTCTGATTTTTTTTAACAATAGAAAAAATTCTTTCGCAAGCTGCATCTGAATGAGGTATTATTAAGACAGCAAGCATTACAGAAGGCAATACTTTGTATTTAATACACCCATTCATATTTTTTAATTTGGCAATTTCTCCCCATGCTATATCAATATGCAAATCTACAATTTCTTTCAAATCATCTACTTGATACATGGAAAATTCAATTTCTACTTGATTAAGACATTTTTCATCAATAATGGATGGAAAAGTATTCATCAAGTAAAGAACAGATGAAAATGAGACTTTAGTTCTCAAGTTGATGTCAGCAACTTCAGCATGTTTTAGAAATGGATCACTCAGTGGAAATTTATCAATTATATATGAACATGCAGTTACAAAAAAGCTCGCACAGAATTGAAAAATGATTTCACTTCACTTTCATTCAACTTGGCATTTTTTTTAAATATAGTCTTGTTTCCGCACCAATCACTAAATTTTCATTTTCTTTTTGTTTACTATACTTCTGAAATGGAATAGACGTTAGAGTAACATCTTCATTTTCTTTAGAAATTACTGATGGTTTTACGAATCTAACAAAAAAATTCATTAAAAGTTCAAAAAGTTCTCTTCTCAATTTATGTATTGCACTTAAACTGCTGTTTTTAAACATTTTCTGATTTTGCTGTTGAATCGAATTTAATGTGGCATAAGGCCAAGAACATGATATATAATTAATAAAGAAAACACATAAAATTTTAATAATAAAAAGACAAAAACGTTTCGTAAATCCATGTAAGTAAGGAAACTGAACTTTGATACGATGAACTTATAAAAGACTGGGGGGGGGACAGAAAAAATGTATGTCAACATTTAACACTTCTTAGCGAATTTTAAACGTATACTTCTATGCTGCTTTTAAAATATTTGTAATTTTGCTAATGAATTTTATATGGCATAAGTGAGAAGAAATGATGCTTAATAATAAAGCTGAAAAGACAAAAAGAAATTGGTTAGCAGGAGTGATTGCTACAGCAGACTGGTAAACTGCGAGCTAAACAAGAGCGTAGAAAAACTTTAACAAACCTTTTTGGGTAACCATTGAAATCTCAGCCTTTTAATATTTTTCACTGATTTAAATCACACGATAAAAAATTAGTGTAAATTTTTATCATATCATTTCAGGCAAAAAATGATCTTTGTACTACTTACCTGGAGTTACAGTAATTTCTCCTGATGATGGGCGCGTTACTATTCTTCTTCCGAACAGCTATTTTCTTTCATATACCAAACTCATAACCAAAAGAAATGGATTGCATGATAAAATGTATTTTATGAAGCAATCTGTTTTGAATTACTGCCATTGGATGAAATGAATGATCACGATTTACAACTGAAACGACAAAGATAAAAATATATTTTATCGATTTAGTAATTTCAGAGATATGATTATTTGATCGCAACTTTAATAACTAGTTTCCTTTTTGAGAAAATGTCGAAGACTACATATACAGTCAGATTAGATCTTGATTACCAAACAGCAAAAGCTTCGGTTACCAAAACCTGACAAAAATGAAATATTAGGATGAATCATGTTCGTCCTGATATTGTTAAGAAGCGCATGAGGTTATACAGTTTTATAGTTTCATTAATATTCACTGCTGATACATAATGTTACATGTATAGTATTTGTTTCATAATTTATTTCTCAAACTAGTTTGTTTTTCAATTGAAATTCGTTTCCAAAGGTTGGTTCACTGATTAATTTCAAAGCTTTAATCTTACGCTACCCGCGACGAGCTCCATGTAATATGACGTCACTCTTCGACGGGAAGTAGTTTTGGAGTCTTTTTAATAACTCTTTTTTTGTGACAATGCTATCTGTATTCTATAAGCTTTTTCTAGCTTTTATTTTGGTTTTAGATGTAAAAGGCAATAAATCTGAATTTAAGTCAAAGATCGGAATCTTCTTTCAGAGTTTAAAACAAGTCTCGGTTCCGGGTGTAAATATGTTTGTAATTGGAATCTTTTTTTTATTTTGGAACATCTGGCATCCGCGACAGTATTGGATAACTGTGAATGGAGATTGTTCTGAATTGATTTATATTTAATTTTTACGATGGATGCTTTAAAAGCTAAATGCTGTCAGTACTGAAGATTGTTTGATAGATCTTTAAACGATTTTGAGAATGATGAGAATAATGTAACTGAGAGAGAAAAAAATGACAAAATTAACTGAAAAAAATCGAAACCTCGTAAAAAAAATTGCAGGCAGGCTAATGTTAATTATAATTATACTATAAATAATTATATAATTATAATATCAGCCAGTTATTTATAATTATAATATAAATTATCCTTTTCGTATTTCTCACTAGAATGCGAATTCGCTGCGAGTATTTAAAGAGAGGTTTTTAGATTTGAGACAGAGAATGATTCTAGCATCGCGTGCGTGCTATGTGGTTAGTTTCCTGCCAGGTCTAATAGTTGTAATTATTCGGCTTTGTGTTTTCTCGCTACCGACACTTTAGTTCTGACGCTCCAGTAGAACTAGTGATCTGGCTTCTAGTAATGTTTAATGGTGTAATCTTTGACTACTGTTCCACGTTTTAAGTTAAACTGGCTGTTCTGTTTATTTTTCATCACCATGAGTTGCGGTCGTTGTGGCACAAGAGCATGCCTTTATATTCCTAATTAATTTTAAATAAAAATCTGATGTGGACACCACGGACACCGCATGACTTCCTTATACTATTAAATTATTAAATTATACATATTTTTTGCTGCATTTAATCTAAACATTTTTCCTCAAATTCCATGAGAGTTATATTTCTCATTCAATCAATTGAGTTCTCACTTCATGGAAAGGTAAGAATACATCAAAACTCAAAGTATCCTTATAGAAAATTGTAAAATACAGAAAACATATAAGGTATTTCTCCAGCCTTTCTAGCATGCCTTGATGGTGCAATGGTCAGCACGCTCGGCGTGTATTCGAGAGGTCCGTGGTTTGAGTCCCGGCAAAAGCATTACTCATTTTTCACATCTCCTGCTTAACAAAAATGTCTCTACAAACATAGAACAGCAAATATATTTAAAAACAATTACAAAACAATTTGTACAGCTAAAATTAGAATTTCTACTCAAAAACAA